TCCGATGCACACCCTCCCCTTGGCCGCCACGTAACCCTTTACTCAACCCACCAACCCCCCAAGCGCCAGGACCCCCGGCCCGGCGCCCCGCGAGCTCCGGGAACGGCGGCCCGGCGGTTCGGCCGCCCGAGGCCCAGAGGGCGGCCTGGCCCGACCAGGGCCGAGACGTTCGATCCCCGCTCGGCTTTGCCGATGGAGAAACAGTGAAAGCCGACCCTTCAAAGAAGGGAAGGGAAAACATAGGTGTCCTCTAAAAGGGCAGCAAATAGATGGCTGGCAAATGATCAAACCACCAGGTACACCAGGGCCGTCTCTTTGTCCACCAAAACAACCAAAAAGGACTGTGGTGGGGGAATGAACCCCTTCGCAACTCAGGTAAGGGCGAATCCGAATGAGATTTTGGTTGATCACCCTTCACAAAACTAAAGACGGCTGGCTGTCTACTTCCTCCCTTCAAGGGAGAAACCTTGAAGGAAACAAGGAAGTCTTGATGCCCCTACATGCGCGTCAGGAAAAAAAGAAGTCCTTCTCATTCGTTGTCCCTTCGTCAGTCGGCTAGACATGGCCGATTGGCTCAACAAAGGAAGCATGATGCAGGCGTGCGATATAGTTGCCAGAGGTGCGACCAGAGAACCCCTTCAGTACCGACTTGGCGCCATGCCGCTGGAGTTTTCACCTAGGTACCCTTCAGCTGGTTTCCCTTTGGCTTCGCCTCGATACAACTCCAAAAAAAAGACCTCTGAAAAACAAACATGACAGCAATCAATCATGAACGCTAGATAGATTGGCCGCCTGACACTGTCAAAACACACAAAGCTGCCGGCTCAAGAAGCTCTACAGAAACTGTCCACGGCCAAAGCAATCAATGCTGCCTCAGTTTCTGCCCCCCAACCAAAACTCAGATTTTGATTCTGGAACTTAAACAAGCAAGCAGCTCCCTTGAGTTGCCTCGTCCCAGCGGGTTGCAAGTGGCGGAGCGGGAGGAGCGCTGGACAGCTGCGCCAGGATCTCTGGGACCTACGCGGAGCGACGGATCCTGGACGTTGAAAAGCCGGGCCCCGGTTTGGACCATCCCTTGAGTTTGTTTTTAGAATCTTCCCTGGAAAGGGTTGAATGAATCTGATCTCAACCGGGGTTCTCAACACGACGGGCATAAAGACAAAAGGAAAGAAGTCAACTGTCGGTGAGTGACTCCTGTGCCTTGAAACCGACCTGCAGGAGCTCAAAGCGCATAACGAGACCTTCAAACAGAGGTTCAAGGAATCAGCGGAGTCCGACAACGCCAGGCGCATCAACTCAGAAACGTACGTATCAGCAAATCCTGAAACCTGTTGACTTCAGAAATAGCAGTCATAGTCCTAGCGGCAGTTGTAGTATTCAAAAAAAGAAAATAGGCAGAACAACATAATAGCAGCTTTTAGTAGTAGCAGCTTTTAGTAGTAGTAGTAGTAGTAGTAGTAGTAGTAGTAGTAGTAGTAGTAGTAGTAGTAGTAGTAGTACTAGTACTAGTACTAGTACTAGTACTAGTACTATTACTAGTAGTACTAGCAGTAGTAGTAGTAGTAGCAGTAGTCGTAGTAGTAGTAGTAGTAGTTTTAGAAATAGTAGTAGCAATAGTAGCCAACAAATCATATTTGGGTCAACCCCTCGAACAACACTCAAGTGGCTGACCTACCTCTACCTCATGGTTGGGCCTTCCGCATGGTCCCTGAGGGGTATGGTCCAGGAGTGTGTAGGACAATCCTTTGGTTGACAAGTCTGATACCTCTTTTTTTCCGTTGATGTAGTCTATTGCGCGTGTACCTCATGATTGCTTCTCCAGAAGTTTGCTGGGTGCTCACCCGAAGAACATGATTTCAACACAGGAAAATGGGCAACCCCCCCCCCCCCCCCAAAGTCCACCCAAAGATTTCCAATAGGAAACTCATGTGATGGCCCAAAGGGTCATGCTGAGGAGTGTAAGCACCCCTGTGAAAAGAATCACGCAAAGCTCCTATACAGGATCGATCATTGAAAAGAAACTTGTACTTTAGGAAAGTCTGAATTTTGAGCGGCTGCTTGAGGCAAATGTCAAAACCAGTTGGCCCGCTCCTAATGGGTGGTGTGAGGTTGGCTTGCGAGCTAAAACAAAAAACGGGCTTCAGAGCCCCGCATTCGCTTAGTTGCTCGTTGGCTTGTGGTGCAATGGCCGTCCCCCTTCCATTTCCTCATGCCTGAAGGCCAGCCAGCCCTGACAAGCTGACTTTCGGCCTAAAGGATTCATCAAAACGAACTCCGAAAACAAGAGCATAGGCAACCCAAAGCGCGATGCGACCAGGTCTGGATTCAACTTTGCAAATTGGCATTGCAAAGCCAAGAGTTAAGGTATGGCTAACGATATGCCACGAAATAGTCAGTATGTATGAGTATGTAATGGTCAGGCAAGTGGCAAGGAGAAAGTCACTGCGGTTGATCCCCTGATGTAAATGCGCCACACACCCCACAGGAAGTTGCAGGGCTCCCTCTGTTCCCAACATAATCCTGGGCACAGGACATTCCTTCTCGCAACGGGCAACCGAAAGGGGGCGCTTGAAAGTCCCGGACATGCACAAGACAGGGACCCTTGTGAGTGCATCAAATGAAAAAGCGGGTTCTTGTTGCCTTTGACATCTAGCTTGGCATGTCAAGGGGAGACCCTCTTTGACACTTTGAGGCCCACAGGGAATTCAAAGATTGGTTCGCTTTGTCTGGCACCAGGGTAGCAAGTGGGGCCCCGCAATAAGGAGAAAATGCAGAAGCCAAATCATGCTTCGTTCTTTCTGATTCCGATCATCCTTTACAGGCTCTGAGCAAATTTGATGACTCTGACCCTCCTGGCGACTTCCCCAAATCCAATCTGTCCTTCTGGACTTCGAGTTGTGTACGCTCCAGGTTGAAGAAACACCAAACCCGATGGCCCCGAATAGGCCATGTTTTCATTTGCAGAAATCCGAACACCGACCCTATTCTGAGACTTGCTGCAAAAAATAGTTCGGATGCTTGCTTACGACCCAGTGTCTGCCTCTCCACAGATCTTTTGCTTGCTCTCTTAGTGACTCGTCAACGAGCATGTCCTAAGGAAGCAGCCAGGCGCCTTCCAGTCCAAACCGCTATTTCCTCAAGGTGAAAGCTCGCCGTGTCACTCTGGCAGCCCTACAGCCTGGAACGAAGAAAACACCTTGTACTCTCGAAGCAAAGCTAAAGGAAAGTTATGAAAATCCTAAGGCCGTCCCCTCCCCAATGCCTCCCGCCTGTTCCTCGCAGCCATCAGCCACAACAACCATCAAAGCCTAGGGAAAAGCCAGTGCAAGCGGAAAGCTCACTAAGGTTGCCACTCCTTGTCCTCCATGTGAGATCTACAGCGTGTGTCTCCAGATTGCTTGCTGTGTGTGTGTGTGTGTATGCGTGTGTGTGTGTGTGTGTGAATGTGTGTGTCTGTAAGGTTGTGTTGTGCTTGTGTTGTTGTGTTGCTGTGCTGTGCTGTGCTGTGCTGTGCTGTCCTGTGCTGTGCTGTGCTGTGCTGTGCTGTGCTGTGCTGTGCTGTGCTGTGCTGTGCTGTGCTGTGCTGTGCTGTGCTGTGCTGTGCTGTGCTGTGCTGTGCTGTGCTGTGCTGTGGTGTGGTGTGGTGTGGTGTGGTGTGGTGTGGTGTGTTGCTTTGTGTACGGTATTTTGTATCTCGCGGTCTTGCGTCTTGTCTTGTGTCTTGTGTCTTGTGTCGTGTGTATTGGGTAGTGCGCTGAGTTGTGCGGTGTGGAGTGGAGTGGAGTGGAGTGGAGCGGAGTGGAGTGATGTGGTGTGGTGTGGCGTGTGGGGTGGGGTGTGTGTGTGTGCGTGTGCTCCCAGTCGTTGCCCTTTCACTTTTTTTGTTCAATACTCCCAAATTGCACCAGCACAGTTGTCAAACGTTTTCAGTTTTGGATCCCTGCACAAAGTGAACACTCGGCCACAAATTCAGCCTCTGGCAGAAGGTGAATCAGAATTCATGCCCCAAAAGGCAACAAAGGACGGCTTCTGAAGGCAAAGCCAAAAACGCGTCAAACGCCTTGAAACCAGGAAGGCCAAGGTTCTGGGTTGGTCTTTGAGCACGCCAAAGAACATACTTGCCTAGTAGGGAAATACTTGCATTTTGCCACAAGTCGTTTTAAGGCTCACCCCGACTTGGGCTTCGGTTATCCCGACCCTGGCCCTTCAAACATGTGGGTTTGTCACAAAACAGGGGTACCCCTAACATGGGGTCGTTGTCCCGTAGTCTTCCTTTAAGCCGCCCCCACCTGGGGCCCCAGCCCCGTCGGCCAAAGCCTTGAAGGCTGCCTCTGGGGATGGGTGGGTTGGTAGGCCCTGGTTTCGGGCGTCTTTTCGCGAAGCAAAAATACAGTTTGCGGGTTCGCTTTGAGGCAAACCCGAATCTCAAAGCGTCTGTCCCAGTCAACCAGGTTCAGCTGGATGAATTTGAAGGAGCTGAACAGGAGCCAAGCCTCAACGCTTCATGAACGGAAGCTTCAAAGACTGGATCGTCCCCCCATCCCAGAAGAGCACCACAAGTGCAAGAACCTTTGCAACTTCCCCGACCTGAGTAGTCCTTTGCCGTTTGGAATACATTCCGAGAGGAGCCAACCGCCACGTTTGGGGGGGGACACATACATTAGCTCAAGAAGGCAGTCCAAAAGGACAAGGCACCGAAACTGACATAGCACCGGAAAACTGGCAAAAACATCAGCACGGATAAAGGCACCCCAATTCTGGACTCCCTCATTGCGGCACTTAATGTCAGGAAGCACGAGTCGCGTCAGAACTGCTGGGGTGCTGCTGTCTATTGGCAAATCCAAGGACCCGTCCAAGTAAGCTTTGAAGATCTTTGAAGCATTTGCACCTGAAATGAGAAATTTTAAGAGGGTCCCCTTGCCAGCGGATTCTAAATGGATTTCAATCTGGTGGGGGAGGGGTTTCAGTCGTGTCTAGTTCTTTGTCCTGCTGTGCGATCTGCCTTTTTTGCCAGCAGCCAAAAGAAAACAATCACCCGGCCACGCTGGCCCGGTTGATGGGCTCAACGTCTGTGCAGAGGCCAAGGTCAAAACAGCCAGCTAGTGAAGTGCTCTTGGTCTGAAATCTATCAATCAAACTAATGCCGCGATGTGTTCAAATTTCCCGATCGGTTACGATCTCCGCATCCGCACACAAGGTGCATATCATCTCCATGGTGGGTGCGTTGATGATCAGCGTGTCATCCTTCGCAAGCCACTTGCGGACCGTGGGCATGCCTTCGGAGATCTTTGCCTCTGCCTCCATCACGCCCGGAGGCCCCATCATCATGGTGGACATTCCTGCGCCAACGGTCAGGGCATCAAAGGGCGCCAAGGATGCATCCGGAGTGGACGTGGCTGAGAAGCCCAAGTTGTTGGCCACTTTGACGCTCAGGCGCAGCTGACCTTTGTCCTCCAGGACGGTGATAGTTGGTAGAGGAGCCCCCTCCAGCTTGGCTGCCAAGGGGAACTCCCCGAGCTCAGGGCCCAGAAAGAGCTGCTTCAGCGTCCACGTCCCGGCGGCCGGATGTCCTCCCTTGGGCTTCTCCCGCGTCAGAGCCGTCGGCGCCGGCAGCCCCGTGGCGATGCGGAAGATGTCGCCATCTTTCTGCGCCTGGACCACCGGGTAGATCTTGGCCCCGGAGTAAGGCACCTCGTAGGCCGGGCCCATGCAGCGGCCGTTGTGGTACACCGTCATAGTCAGCTTGCTGTCCTTCACCTGCACCAAGATCCCCACGACATCGCCCTTCTTCACGTCGTCGCCCCATTGGCTCTTGCAGCACGCGCCGCCGTCGGCCAAGTTTCCCGGGCCACCGTAGAAGAGGCCCTTGCACTTGTAGCCGGCTCCAAACTTCTCTTCCGTGCCGATGCCGATGAAGGGACTGCCGTGTTCTCCAATCTCCTGGCAGCTTACCTCGAAGTAGGACCCAGACTCGAGGGCCATCGGGTACAACGCGTTGGCCGGGGATCCTTTCGACTCCTTGGTACCAATCTTAAACTCCGGCCCAGTGCTCTGCACCGCAGAAGAACCGTCATCCCTCCATGCGACCGACATTGCGTATTGTGCGTCTTCCTTGAACTGTTGCGGCTTCAGCCTATGCCACCGTGTTATCCTTAACTGAGGGGTTAACATATTCAAAATGGAGGAGGGTGTGGTCCACCCAAATCTTTCTTCAAACACGGTCAATCAATTGTCTTGGACTTCTGATGCGCTGATCCACTTGTGAGATATGCAACAGGACAAGAACCATTGACCATTGTCTCCAGGCGCCTCGTCACGTTCACTGAATCGAGCCAAAGGGTTCATTAACCCCAAGTAAGCATCACCAATGCAGGCCTATCTCTGGCATTCTTTTGTCACTCAGAACTCCCCATACCTATTCCTTTTGATATTCCCAACCGACGTTAAAAGAGAACTTGTTGGTTCTCGGAAGGGAATGAGAAATGGAATGACCCCGGAAAAAATGCCATATATATATGGTTTCTTCCAAACCGCGCCTCTGTCACCGCTTGCAGGGGGCTGCCTTTGGCGAAGGCCTCCAGGCAAATCGCAGCTGTATTTCCTGGGGTCGATTTACAACACGGGCCAAAAACAAACAACATCCACCAAAAATCACAGGCCAACTGCAAACACTATCAAACCAAAATAAATAGAAAGAAGAAAGCAAAGAATGAAAAGAACACAGAACACAAACAAAGGCGGGCAAAACACAAAACACATAAGCGGAGAAACTAAAACTCGCAACACATAGCAAGAAAGAACAAAGAAATGCCAAACCAAAAACGAAGAAACACCAATCTCTCCTCCAAACAAAACCAACGTCTGGCCACAGAAACCCGCCTCCGGCCGCTCCGGGGAGCCAAGGATCAAGACGGCGTCGACAGCCTGTGGTGGGTGACTTACCGCTCCCGCAAAACCTGCCTCAAAACCACCAAAAAGCCCCGACGCATCTCTTCTGGAAAAACGGACCTGGGCACGAACACTCAAGTGTCTTGGAAGGTAGGCTCGAAACCGCAACCAAAACAAAACAACCGCTGGTGTCACGAGCGTCTATTTAAGGGGGTGTTCGACTACCGACTAGAGGTTCCTTGCCAGGAGCTTGAGAGAGCAACCATTTAGTTTTAACGTAGATCGTCCAAGTTGCCGCCGCAGGCATTGAGCAGGGCCCCAGCACTGTAAATCTCATGAACAGCTGCATGCATGAAATGGACTTGTTCAAAAATGCAATGGCGAAGGGATAAATTGCTATCATCTAATATATGATGCTGTGCGGCTAGGAGTTATCTCATTCAAAACAATAATGCTGCATTGACATTGGCCTGGGCAACTGTATGATGTTGCATAGATGCGTCTCTTTAAATCAAAGTATGCTGAAGGGATAAACTAAGGTGGTGGGTGTTATTTTGAGAGGACCCGCAAAATGGCTTCGGTTCTCCTTTGTCTTCCTTTAAGGAAACCAACCAAACAGGGGTACAGTAAACAAAAGGAAAACAAGTGGTATCTTCAAGTACGATGTGTTTTACGGATCAGATGGTCTCAGAACAAGGGTTGCTCTTTCGACCTTGGGTCGGAAGTTGGGCTCCGGAAACGAGAGGACTTGATCACCAATTTGGGTGGCTCGTCGTTTTTTTTATGGTTGGACCCACAAAAATGGTGGTGTTCCTGTTGGCGTCCCTCGAAAACCACCAAAAGGGGTAGCCTCAAAGAAAAGAGCCACACGATGTTCGACCGTTTGGGTAACTGCTTGCCATACTCTGAAGTGAAAGCTAGCTCCTAGATATCCAGACGCATTGATCCCTCACGCCGAACCCTCGCTTGGTTTGGGCGTACATACAGGCGGATAAATGAAACGTGATCCACTTGTTGGCTGAAAGAACAAATCACAGCTTTGCTTAGCACCAAGTGTCCGAACAAACAAGGAAGTGCATAGATTTTGAAAGATGATGTGCCCTCTGGAGAAGGCTGAACTTCCATGTGTGCTTGGTGAGAGGGTACTTGGGTGATCGTGTGGTCGGCCAAGGCAGTAAGTTGTTCTTAGCCTCTGCAACCCACAATCCCAAGTGCACTTGACCCTGTTGCACTGTTACTAGTAAGCTAGAACTCAGATGGCCAACCATTGACCAACCTGGCAACGAACCTCGCAGCGTATGGCAATCTGCGCTTCGCTCTGCCTCACCCACCGCTTCGCTCTGGCCGGAGGCCTCCAAGCGCCGGGGGCAATTCCCTCTGTCTGGACTTGGCTTCACTTGGCTTACTTCTGGACAAATACCTCCATCTGCGAATACGTGTCCTGGAAAAAATGAACATATTTCCAGTAGTGATAGCTTCCCTTTAAAGCCAACAGGAGAAAAGTAATTAAAACAAACAGTCCTAAGCAAATGGAAGCTTGTCGCCAACCTAGAAGAAAAGTGGTGAAGGGAAAACCACGCCAGGAACCTTCACTGATGAGGTCGCAAACCTGCGGTAGGGTAAGGACATTCTACATTAGCACAGACTGAATGGTTTCCGTCAAATGGGTGCGCCAACGGAGAATACGCAGCGCGACGTGATTGTCCTGTGACAAGGGCCGGGACATATGTGTTAGAGTCTGCGTAGGACCCTTTCTGCAAAACTCTGCGCGCCTGGAAGCGTTTCAAAAGAGGACTTACTTTCGTGTGACTCTGGATCGCTGCCTCCAGGCTTCGCTTGGCCATGTGGAGAGTGAAGACAGACCACTTCTTTCATGCCTGTCCTCTCCATTCACTTTTCATCCTCTCTATCTTCTCGTTACCATCTCCTACCCATGAATGGAGATGGGAGAAGATAGCGTCATCCCTTTATCACTCCAGCCCGTCTAAACGAAAGGGCTGGAAGCGATGATGTGTGAGTGAGTGAAGGAACGAGCGGGAGCGGGAAAGCATGAGAAAGAGATATGCAAATAATATGTTTTCCTAATCTCTCCCTTTCATCTCTTATTCCTTGTCCACTTCTTTTATTCTCATGCCTGCCAACGAATCCAAGAGGCAGGACATGATGAAAGAAGACAAGGAAGAACTCCGCCGAGGGCGTCCCCTTGCGCTTTGCCTTCAAGAACGCCTCTTTCTCGCCCCATGGCGTGCGCGGCTGGCCCTGCTGGACCTCCAGCTTACCACGTGTGGGTGATGGATGACGTGGCAAAGGCGGGCCGGGGACGTCAGGCCATGGCTCCGGAGACTCTCCGCATGGCCGTTCTCAACGAGTTGGACCGCGGCTACTTCAGTGGCATGAACGCGCGTTTCCGGCGACAGGAATCAAAGTGCCAGGGGAAGAAAGGCGGCTACTTTCGCGAATCCGAATCTGCCCGCGTCTCTCAAAAGGATCCCAGGTCGCTTGTTTGGGCTTCTTTTTAGGCAAACGACTCGTGAAATCAGCCATAACGTTGATCCACCAGACCTTTGCGAATCTTGCCTGGGTCAGAAACTTTGCCCAGCAATGACGGGAAACCCTAAAACTGCATTGGTCGATCCTTCCGAGAAGGGAATTCATTCCGATGTGTGGCTAACCCGTGCGGGCTATGTCTTGTTTTCGCGAGTAGCCAGTTTGGCTACCCGTGCGGGCTATGTCTTGTTTTCGCGAGTAGCCAGTTTGGCTGCTTTACAACGGGCCAAAGACGTGCCATACCCAAACGGGGCCTGGGTGATGGCGATACCAAAGGATATGAAGCTTCTTGGTGAACGAACTGCCTCCAACACGGGCAGCAGCCCAGGGTTCAGGTACTTCTGTGGAGGAAAGCGTGGCCTAGTACCTCAACAGCAAGCCAGCTGCCTCGGCTGGCTTCGACAACTCAAACATGGGAACCCCTCAACTAGGGACAGTTCAAGTGTGCACGACTTTCAAAGAACACATAGTGTCCCTTTCATGTCCCCTTTGTTTGTTTTTGTGAAGCCGCGCCTTTGGGAATTTTTGAGACACCCAGGGCGATCGCCCCACGCCTCTGCTGCTATGAAGACCTTGCACCGCAGAGCCGCACGGAAGCCTCGAGAACGAGGACCCGGGCGGAAGCCGAAGCCCTGCAAATCGCGCACGTGGCCATGCGCCCCGTGGGCATCGAAAACTGTTGCCGGGGGTTGGGGAATTTGTGTTCACCAAATGGCCATGGGTCAAAATCCCGTACTTTGAGGGAACATCCCCATCCCCTCTTAATAGACTAAAATGGGTGGTGCACCTACCCCAAAATGATACCATTGGTTTTGACCCGCAGCCAAATTTGAGAGAGCAAAGGAGAGATAATTTCGGAGAAACACAAGTTAAGCCATTGACAAAAGGCAAGCCGTGGCTCGAACAAGCCTGTCGGTGTCCGAAGCCAATTTTCCCCCAGGTTCATCTTGTGGGCCCAAATGAAGGTAAACATCGCATGAATCGACGGATTGCATGACTAACTCATTGGAATCAACCTGAAACCCGTGGAACACGTTCTGATTTAACCAGCTTGATCTGGGAAGCCTATGATTGGTCCGACCCCTGTTTTCAAGATGCTGCCACCATTTGTTTCAACAATCTCCTCTTGGTGCTCCTTTTTAAGGCAACCCCAGCAAATGCGAAACTTGCCTGAGAGGTATGGCTGGCGCGGGTAGCCCTTGCTTTCATCACCTCCAAACGCACCATTTTTCAGGGGACCTTTTGGGTGATGTTTGAATCCGCCGCTTTCGGGGACATCATCGGGAACCCTGGCAAAAAATCAGGCGAATGTCCTTGACTGGTGATATGGTGATGGTGATGATAATTCAATAAGCCAGCAGAAAGCCGTTCTTGATTCTCCGCAGATTTCCGGCTTCAGCCCTGGAGGCTCTGGTGGCAAGGCTCACGTGAAAGCCACTGCCAGCGGGAAAGCCACTAGACCACTAGACCGGCCGGAGGGCACCAATGGAGACGGCGCAGGCTTTAAACTGCGCTCATATTGGACAGGGGCATTGTGAACTTCCATTTGCTTAAGCCCCCTGGGAAAAACAAATGTCCAGTAGTGATAGATTCCCTTTAAAACAAACCAGGGAGAATAACACGAGTATTCTTCGGCAAATGGAGGTGACACTCATTCCATCCGCTGCCTTTTGCTCGCACCTCCGGCCAAGCCTTTGCCTTTTTTTATGCCGGCAAAGACGTATCGGTTGAGATTGAAGAAGAAGGTCCCGTTGCGTCCAGCGTCTTCTAGTTCTGAAAGCCAGCGCTCCGTGTCATTCTTCTCAATGAGGCTTTGTTCGGTCACATACTTGACGATATTGGCCTGGGCCGTCCAATTTCATTTGTTTGCTGAAAGTTGAACTTTAGTGGGTTGAATGGGAACCCCACGAAACGCCAAAAAAAAAAACACTAAACCTGAGGGGGCGGCTGGGAACTGCCAAGTGGCGGAAGCGCCCTTTGCAAAACCAACTTCATCCCAAGCGATATTCGTGATTGGGATCACATGTGGCCCATCCGCAAACTCCAGACCAACCCGACCCAGCAACTCCGGGATGCGCATGGGCAGCAGCGGGTGACTGCAGTGCTTGTCGTACGCATCGAGGATGCGACGCTGCAGCTCCACATCGGCTCCGCTCCAAGATGACTGGCTCCAAATAGAGTCTAGTATCAGCACGCGCCCACCTAACTTGAGCACGCGCTTGACCTCGCTCAGTGCTTTGGCCGGATCGGCCACATAAACGACTACCTGGGTGATTGTCACCAGGTCGAAAGAGCCGTCCGGGAATGGGAGCTCTTCGGCGCTGGCTTGGAGAACCTTTGCGGAGGGGCAGCGCACCTTGGCAGCTTGCACCATAGCTTCAGAATGATCCACTCCCACTACAGAGCCCTTTTCTCCCACTGCGGCCTTAAGCAGCTCCACCAGAAAAGCCGGGCCGCAGCCCACATCCAGGCAGCTCTCCCCTTCAAGAGGCTTTGCAAGCTCGATGAAGCGACGGCGCTGCTCCACAATGTCGGGAAGGGAATAGCGCTTCTCAAGACTCTTGAGGCGTTCGGGATCAGACCAATCAATGGCAGCCATTCCCTGAGTCAACTTGAGCCAGATATGTTCCTGCCCTCGAACATGAGTGACTGGGCTTCCGAATCCAACCAAATGCCTTGAAAGATTGAGCCCAATGGTTTGGTGTTTGCAGCCAAATCGATCACCAAAGTGCCAACGGGGAGGCAAGTAAAACACACGTCAGCCTTGGATGCAAAACCTACCAACGGTGACCGCCCCTGCACGCCTCACGCGACGACGCACACTCGCCAAAAAAATAATACCCAAGTCCGGCGGCCGTTCGCCAATTCCCTCTTCCGACTTCTGTAGATTGGCCCAGGCATTCAAAAGCATTTGCTCCCCTGTGTGGCAAGCACCATGTGCAAGGTGAGCTGAACCGCGCAAAGCCAAACTTGGAATCCACGACTGACGTCTTCATTACCCATGTTCGTACAGTTCCATGCCCGCCGGAGCTGCCAAGAAGCATAATCACCAACCAACGAACCAACCAACCAAACCAAAACAAACCAAACCAACCAACCAACCAACCAACCAACCAACCAACCAACCAACCAACCAACCAACCAACCAACCACCAGCCAACCAGCCATTCAACCAAGCAAGCAAGTGGCTCTAGCCTTACCAAATCCGAGTTTCTGACATGGGGCGTGCCGCCAATGCCTCCAATGCCTCAGAAGGCCTCTACAACCGGCGATCCGCTAAGCAAGAGCTGCTTGGCAAAAGTAGTGGGTGCAACAAAATGAGCCAGCGTCCCCCCAAGCAACCAGCCAACCCCCAAGCAACCACCCAAACCAAACCCACCCCAACAGAAAGGGAAATGGCTTGGAAACCCAAACCAATCCAACCCACCCAAACCCGCCCAACGGGGTCCCCGTTTGTCCCGAGCCCCGCCTTTGGCCCCGCGGGCCCCGCCTTCCGCCGCCTCGGCCCAGCGCCGAGAGCACAGCACCGCCACCCCCTCGCAGCGCGCCAGCGCCGCCTCAGCTAGCCACCCCCCCCGCCCGAGGGTGACCTGACCTGATGTGGTGCGAGGAAACCCGCAAAAACACGGCAAGCGAGAACCATGTATTCTGCGCCATGGACACTGAAATAAAGCCAAACATGTTTGAAGAACCACACTGAAATGAAGCCACACATGTTTGAAGAACCAGTGCCTATGTTGCAGCACAGCCTCTTGCAACCTTTTCTGGGTAAGACAAGGGTTGCAGCCCTTTGCAACCCCAACCAACCAATATCGCAAAATCATGGGGCAAGCAACAGGACACCTTTGGTGTCCTGGCTGTGGGGCGAGGGACCCCTTTTGAGTCAGAAGCCCGGTCGTTGTGGAGAAGGCATAGAAACCCTTGCTGCCGGTGTTCTGCCTTGGGTCAAAACAAACTCACCATCAGGAGACCCTGGCTCCGGTTGAGTTTCAACAATCAAATGGCCCCTTTCTTCCGGAATATACTCGATTCCGTTGCAGTTGTTCGCTGAAATTCCCGCAAAGGAGTTGCCTTTACAGGAATGCAAACAAAGTGGCTCATTCTGTTCCTTGCATTCTCTAAGCGAAACCAAAAGGAGGTTGCTGGGACAATGATGAAACTGGTTTCAAGGGGTTGAGCCCAGCCTGGCAAGGAACACACTCCCTTTGAATGATGGCTCTAGTATTTTGGTGCCAACAATGGGTTGCCCCAGAAAGGGTGCCGGCTGAACCCAAAGAGTACCATTTGCGGGTACAGGTCCCGTAAATAACCCCCCCCCTTCGATCCATCCGATTCGGACTCCCGCCGATTTGAGCCCCCGACGGTGGAACAGGGATCCATGGCGGAGCAGTAGGCACATGGGTTCGGTGGCCGTACAGTGCTTCAGCTGAAATTGCTTTGGCCCAACAAAAGGACACTGAGCGTGCGAAAGGGCAACAACAGGCAACAGTTGTCGTCTTGTGCGATCTTACTGCGCCAGACTTCGACCTCCTGCAAGAAGTGGTTTGGCTTGCTGGTCGCAAGGGGAAAATGGAGGAAACGCACAAAGCCAAAAGGCGAACAAGGTCGGGTCAGTTCACAACTTTCAGGGTGTCAAATTTTGGCCCTGCGTCCGGAAACCGGGATTCTGCGCCCTGGGAGCAGAAAGCGTGCGACATGGCAACATTCCAAGCAACACGGTTCCGTGTCCGCTCCGGATATTGGGCGTCCCATTTCATGTGAGCTGTTCCAAGGGCATCTGAATCTTATGTATACATATATAGATATATACATATATATATATATGTATGTATTATACATATTAAGTGCATGTGTATATATATATATATATATATCAACCACCATCAGGTCACGGCGAGAAGCGGCGCCGCCCTTCAGCATCTGTTTAGCCCAGTGTAAGGCACTCAAATGAAATTGGATCAGGTGCCCCTGAAAAAAGTAGTCGCTTCCTTTCGTTCTCCCAAAAGAATCATCCGAAAAGGGCAGTCAAATGTTGTATTAGTCTCTTCCCTTGTGATACTCTCGATGTTAGTCATGGTAATAGTTTCATAGAAGCCTTGCCTAAAAACCCTAGCAAAGGGTCCATGCCAGCCCCCTTTTGGGATCTCCGATCACCTTTGGGCGGCACAAGGAGTCACCATATTTAAAGAATCAAATGATCCTACCAACAGAGGCCACAGAAAGTCAGTCAAAACTGATGATGTCCAATCCTACTTCCGTGTGATTCTCGGCCACCGCAGCTTGCATTTCCGTGGGTTTTAGAAAGAGAAACATGAGCGTAGGCTTTGAAATTAGGTGAATGTACGTCACTCACCAACTGAAGGGCTGGTTCTCACCAAGGAATGAGGGAATGACCCCTAGAACCCATCGCCCATGGTTTCCTTTCAGTTCCTTCAACCAACACCCGGACTCGGTCATTCCCTACCTGTCGCACCAGGACAAGGGGCCATGCTGTACAAGGAAAGTCCTACCAGTCCCAACCACCACCCTTCATCGCTTCCGACCTACCGACCTGGGCGCCTGGCTCGCAGGTGGCCACGTATCGCGGCACCTTCTCCGTGGAGCTCTCCTAAAAGACCCCCCTTTTGGGGACGCGCGGGGGACGGGTGGCTTTGGAAGGCGAAACCGAAGAGAACCACCCCCCTCCCGGCTCGGGTTAGTATGGATTTCTCTCCAACTCGGGGACCCCAACAAATGGCCCACCGTGCTCCTTTTGGTTTCACATTAGAACCAACCAAAACAATTTCCCCCCAAAAAACAAATCGGCAGACCCATCCGTGATACCCTTGCGAAGCCCCAAGTATTCAGTGGCCATGGCCTTCCCCTAGCTCGCGCCGTGGGCTTTACCAACATGTTTGCAAGGTGCTCCAAAAAAGCCACGTAGATAGGGCTATAGCGTATCCCCACAAACTTTCAAGAAGTGTCTTTTCATTATACTCCTCCTTAACCACCGGATGACCAAGAAAAAGCACACCTCATAAGCTGTGCCCACAATCGTCGACGAAACAGTTCTGAGGCAGGTGTGAGGAGAGGTTGTGGTGCTTTGTTCTCTGGGCCTCGGTAACAAACCTCTGCCGTTTCTGCAGGCTTTCCATCTGCCTCGATGTAGGAGCCCCAGGCGGTGACGTTGGCCGCCCAGTGCCCTGCGCGCAACGTGGTCTCGCACCACCAAAAGGGGTGGAAAACTGGCCAAAGTTGGGATAAAAATCTGAGTGGGGGGAGGGAGGGAAGGGAGGAAGGAAAACGCAAATTAGGTTGGGAATTTATATAAAGCCCAGTTCATGCCAGGTGAGTCATCAAACCCTGGCGTTGACATGGTCTACCCAAAACCACGGTGAAGCATAATCTATCGGTTGGGAGGATTCCTTACGAACCTTCATCTGCCCAAATTCTGACTGCTCTTGGGACTCTGGTGCCCTCCCGCCGGAGCGTGTCGCAATGGAGGACATGGCAACATGGGGAGAGCGAGAACACCCCTATGTGTGTCAAAGGGTCCCTTCATATCAGAACTGGTTGGATTCCCAACGCCTGGTAAGCCCTCTCGAACTTTAGAGGCGAACTTGGATTCGAGTCCAACGCCTTCGAAGCCCCCGCGACTTTTACGTTGCCGCCGCTTGGCGCCCGCGGTGCAACCAGATCCCCAGCGGAATCGACGAGACGAGCTGCGGGAGGGCGCTTGGGAGTAACCCCGGAGACCTGGGTTTGGAAACATGAAATAAAACAGAAAGCCCGGAAAAAGAAGAAGAAAAATGGGGAGAAAAAAAGCTCGGAAAAAGTAAATGTGAAATCTGTGTGCTCAAAAGCACCCGCTTGTTTGCACTAGTTGGCAACCCCTAGTGATGATTCATCCGAGCCAGGACAATGGCATGCTCTGGATTTCTTGTTGATCCCAAGGTGGACTAAAACACACTGGCTGATGTCCCCAAAACTTTGGGTGAGCGGGAAATCACAAAAATGGAACCCTGCGCCCAACAACAGTTGTTGATGACAACTCTGCAGGGAGCTCAGCATGCAGAATGGCATGAGGCGAGCTTTAGGAAGTTTCTCATCTACGGATACGTCAGTGTCTGGAGCCTTTCCTCTCAGCCAACTCGCCTGCCGCCCTGGTTTTGACAAAGGAAATAGTTCATGCGGAGGAAAGGAGGAAATTGAAGCCAAGCCTTTGTCCAAACGGTAGCTTCCCCATCTCCGGGCACCGGCAAGAATTCAAGAAATCAAACCCTGGATGCTTTTCTGCTCGGGCAAACCAATAAGGCCACACCACTTTGAGGCCTGGAAAGCACCCAAATCGAAGCCAATGGGAAGTCCCGACTCAGCGCCTGTTGGCCCAAACTCCATCAGGGCATAGGGCAGGTCCACCCCATTCTCCCTCGGCACATACAACTTGACAGGAGGGACACGGGGAGCTGCAAGCAACTACGACCCGCGCAACAAAAGGCAGCCCTGGTGAAGCAGCAAAGCAAACATCAGTGTACAAATCAAGCAGCAGAGCCAGGACCCTCCCCACTCTGTTCCCACATGACCCTATCTTCCACCTGGGCCTGCCTTGACGCCACCAAACGAACAAGAAATGCAAGAATGTCGTCCCTTTGCAGGGCTGTAGTGTGCCCTTTGAAATGGAGCAAAGTACCGGGATACCGGTATTTCGTCACAGTGAGCAAATTTGGAATCCATGTTTCTTGGCCCCAAGAATCAGGCCGGATCAACAAACCAATTGGAAGTCTCCTAAAGGTGGAAAAGAAAAGGATCCCTCCCCTCTTGCTGTTGGACCTGCGTCTTCAATTGAAACCAAAACGAGCCGTTGCCTCCTTTAGGACTCATCATTCACCGAGCCCGCGGCTGCAGGTCTTTGCCCACTTTCAGCGAGTCCTGCAACCAGCTTGGTCTTGGGGGGGGAATCAAAGACGCAATACTCTTTGTTCCCCAAGAGGGCATGGGGAGGGCCCCCTGTCTGGCGAGGATTGAGTGGGCAGTAGACCACCTTGCATATTGTATGTGACTCAAGTGTGTGTCCCTGTTCTGGAGGGCACTGTACGCTGGAGTAGGTGGCTTTTGCTACCTCAAGGGAAACTGGGTCTCCTTTTCATGTTTAATCATCCTTGCCCAAAACAGTGCCGTGGAATCCTGGCGTCCTGTGCGCCTGGAAAAGAAGTTCTCCAAATATGTGCAAGCAAGGCCAGGGTCCTTCAAAAGTAGGCCAGCCGTGGCGCTCCTGATGCTCTCTGCAACTTAAATGGGACACAAAACATGTTGGGGCCATCAAAAGCATTTTGAGACCAACCCGTGCATTGACTACATGACGTGAAGAAAAACAAACCGAGACACGCACGAAGACACCAGTACACTTCATTCAAAAACTATTCCAGTAGACCAATCTCGCGATCTGCTTACTATTATATTTTCGTTCTATTTATTTATTTATTTATTTATTTAGTTATTTATTTATTTATTTTTAGGGGGGTCCAGCTTGTTGCTTTCCCCTTGTTTTCCTGTTTTTCGTTTAGGGGGGGGGTCCCCCTTAGGAGACAAGCCCAAGCCCGAAAAAGAACAAAGAACTCTTCCGGCACCGGTGCTCTTCCGCTGGTCCTCGCCATAGGAGTTCACGCCCAGGAAGTCTAGCTCGGTGACGTACTGGGCGATCAGCTGTACCTCCGGCGCGGCGCGATGCGATCTTGAGCCAAACGCTGCCCCCTTTCCCAGCAAACTGGAGAGGTGTCTTCTAACCGAAAAACCGCACCAAGTCCCGAGGTACTGAACACGCCCGTGGCTGGAGAAAAACAAGTGCCAGTGCCACCAATGCAAAAAGCGACATACACCTCTATAGGAGGGGGTGAATTAGAGAAATCCGCAAACTACATGTGGGAGGACCTCCGATGAAAGAAACATGGGTGAATTTGACACAGAATCATAATTTTACAGGGAACTTCTGAAATCTCAAGGAGAGCAAATGACTGCTGACCAAGAGTCGAAGTATGGAGCATGCATCGCTTGTTTTGCAAATGCGTCGGGAAAACTGGACAGACCCCTGTTGTCCTACCCGAAAGAAGAGTAGACCGCTGATGGTAAAAGTTGCGAGTCGCTCAAACATGCGCCTTGGGCCGTGAGCAAAGTCCGAAGGCTGTCACATAGACCATTTGCCAGGCCAGAGGTCAAATAACCAGCCCACGACCCAAATGAAGTACACCGAGAAAGACAAGTTCCCTTCCGCTTTGGCAAGCCTCGCGATGTTTGCTCTTGAGTTGCTTCATTTAGGCTGGTGAAAATGGCCAGGTTCAAACTCCTAAACAAGATAATTTGGAATCACTCGAACGCAAGGGCTTCACACTGGTTCTCGGATGGGAAATAGACTCCCGGGTCTTGGTTCGCATCTTTGCGGGCCCTTTCGTGGAAAAAAAGACGCGGGCGAATGTGCGTGGGGGATTCGTAAGATCACTGTTTTGTCCCTGCAGCCAGTGCCTCGAATGCAGAAGCTGAAGCTGAAGCGGGGGATACCGTTTGCAGTGCTACGCTCGTATCTCCCTTTTCGTATCTCCCACATGGCCTGTCGCCCACCTGGAATAAGGTTGGGGGCCTATTCCCCACATAAACCCACAATTTGGGGTCAGGTCGTGTGAGGTCGTTATAATTCACCCGGATGGTTTGGGAAAGCCTTGGCCAAGACAAGGATCCAACGAAGCGTTGAGTACTGTCATCCCCGGCCTTCTCCGCGTGGGTCCCTGCAGAGACATAGCCCACGGGGTGATTGGGGTCCTGCAAAACTCGGCTGCCAGGCCTTGTTTATATCCCCACCCGTGTATTCCCCCTTTGAGAGTACTAAAAAAGAGTGCAAAAATACACCAGCAGAGACCCCAGATAGCGAAACACGTGCCAACGACTGTACGCCAGCACCTCTAACAGCACTGCCCGAAGAGCACCTCAACCAACACCAAACAGCATCCCAAAATATTGTAGCACGTGCACAAGAATCCCCAAATTGCATGCCCCCTGGCACCCTGCCGTCAATCTCGCAAAAACACACCTAACCGTCACCAGGCCCCCGAAAACAGCACCTGCTCCAGCCATCAATCTCGAAAAACGCCACGCCTGTCCCGTCACCAGCCCCTCAACACCATCCGCACCATCACCCCGAACAGCACCCCGAAACGACACTCCCACGCACCATCACAAGCACCTCATCCCAAAACAGCACCTGCGCCAGCACCCCAGACTGCATGCCCCCTAGCACCCTACCGTCAATCTTGCAAAAGTGCGCCCGCACCGTCACCTGCACTCCGCAAAACAGCACCTGCACCAGCACCCAAACTGCATGCCCTAGCACCCTGCCGTCAATCCAAGTAAACTGCGCCCGCACCATCAGCAGCTCAAACTGCACCCTAAACAGCACCTACATCAGTACCCCAAACTGCATGACCCCTAGCACCCAGCCGTCAATCTCGCAAATCACTTTCCCTTCTTTCTTAGAAGTTGGAACTCCTATAGCTTTCAGCTATCTGGGGAAAAATTGGTCGAATGTACAGCGGCATCGAAGATGTTGTTTTGGATGGCCCGAGAATGGTCAGGATGCTGGCGATCTGGGAAGTGTGCATTGCAGCTGTGGCAGAAAGCAATAGGCAGTAGAAGAAACAGGTATGGCGCAGCTCAAGGTCGTCATTGTGTTCCACCCCAAAGCAGCAGATTTTGAGAAGGCCATGAAAAAAAAAGAACCAGGATTGGCCCAACCCAAAAACTAGAAATTCATGCGACCCCCCCCCCCGGCTCTCTCCCCGACACCATCTTTGATGGACCGCTCCTCTGCCTTCACACCCTGGATGAGCCAGTTCAGGATCCGCCAGGTGCACTCGGAGCCTCCGAGCTCGGCGTGAGTCAACACCGATGGGTATTGAAATGGTTCACCTAGAGCCATGCAAAGGATTCAAAATGCGGAGATCCGCACCGAATCACTTATAGCTTGTCCCTTACCCCGAAGAAAAAAGAAGAGAGAGAAAATCGGTCGATTGTGACTCAAGTTGGGCGAAGTACTTTGTCTCGTGGAAAGCTACAGGGATTTCTTGGCACCCATGGCCCAAACATGAACTAAATTCCTCAGGGAGGCATTGATGCCTGTCCACATTCATGAAAAGCTCTTAAATCCAGAAAGAGGATGTCCTCGCAAGAGGAGGGTCCTCTCTGGCACGATTCACACGCCCAGGATACGACGTCAGAGCACGTCCGCGCCTTTGACCACATTGGTGGCAAACCTCGGCCGATCCAAAAACCGAAAAGCTTCAATTTAAAAGGCCGTTGGTGATGTTTGGGCAGTTCAAAAATCTCACAAACAAAGAATATTGTCCATTCCTTGGAATGAGGCAAATCTCCCTTCAAAAATCAAAGCGACGACGAAAGCAGACAAGCGAACATGGTTGCACCTCCCCATTTGCAGAGCCTCTGCCTAGAGTTTGGACACATGCACTTTTTAGCAAGGCTCGCGATCCTCCCTAAGGTTTTGGGGTTTTCCCAAAACCTTTCAGTCAAGCTCCATAGACGCATGCTCTTCAAGCATTTGAAAAGCCCATGGCAGGCCATCGCATTCGCTTCGGACCGTGCCGCCAAGAGCCCTGAGTAACAGAAGTGGCTGGATGCTGGTATGGAAGTGTGCGCCCAGAACCTAGCCCCTTCTCAACCGCGAGGACCGAGGACCAAAGGAAAGAGAAAGGAGATGACATTGATGAACAACCCTTTTGAGGTTCGCCAAAGAGCGAATGAACCAATCGGCATAGCCATTCAGGCGCTCTGCCACCATTTTGCGCCGATGCTATTGCGCCTTGCAACCTACTTACGAAGCTGGAAAAAACACATGCCTCAAAGCTGCTGATAACTTTGTCAGCAACTCAAGGATTCATGCCCAGCCTGTGCGAATTGGACCAAATCAGACATTGACATATGAGCTGCTTTCATCTGACGGAGCTTCATTTCTTTCCACATAACATTCCACCACCTTGGCCACGTCTCTCGGTGCCGTTTCCTTGTCTTCCGGCGCGCTTTTCTCCTTTGGCTCAGCAACCAGCGGAGCCATGGCATCCATGAGCTGATTCCATTCGACTTGGTCCTTTCGCGGTTTGCGGCGGCAGCATGCTTGGCCTTGTTTCTGCGCGGAGGTTGGCCTCCACAAGATCAGGTTGCCCCACACTCCCGCGAGATTCGCCACGAGAGTTGCGGTGCAGGAGACCATGATTCCATTCATCAGCTGGGCCCCGTAAGTTCCGTAGACCCATGCGGCAATCATCAGCATGAAGAAGACGTAGCTCTCCACCATGTAGATCACCGTATCCCCCAAGACCTGGGGGTTCTGCCTTAAGAAGGCCACGGCGTCGGCTTCAGTCAAGGAGTCCCAGTAGAACAAGTTCAGAACGCAGTAGATGATGCAGTTGATGTTTGCGAACCTCTGTCCGCTTTAACGAATCCCAAGTAAAAGTGGCTTACCTTTTAGGGGGGTAAATGAAAACCCAACCACCAAACACTTAAAACCTAAAAACCTTTGTGGCACCAGATCGCTGGGCTTGCCACCAAGGAACAAGCAAGCGATGCCTAGAGACACATAAATCTGTTGAACATGAATCCGCTGCTGCGGCTCCATGCAAAAGCCTTGCGGCGACATCTCGTGGCCCTCAATCAGGGCACCCACCACAGTGGTCATCACCAGTGATGTCGTCACACCGATGTTGGTCCAAGCATTCTGCGCGGAACTCTTAATGTTTTGTATTGAGCAGTGCCGCAGGAGGCTGATGCTGATTTTCACCTTAAACAGGGCGGCGCACAAGACGTGCCCGCCGAGGGCGGTGCCATAGACGATGTATGCGCCGGAGCCCACGGATTTCGCGAGAGAAGGCTCCAGATCAGTGCTGCACTCCATCTCCACCCGACCGCGGATTGGTTGCGAGCCAAGGGCTTGGGAGCCGGGGCACAGTACCTCGAGCCTTCGAGCCTGCGCGGCTCAAGAACTTGAGAGAAATGATAGTTTGCAATGTGGGCTTAGGTTTCAAGAATATCCAGCTTTGCAAGAGAAGCTTCCAATGAATCGAGGGTTCTACAAGCATATCCTAACTGCTAACGGTTAACGGTCAAGGCGAAGATTGAACAGGCCTTGCCAAGTTGAAAAGCCATGCCGGTTTTATGGAGTACTTCGAAAGAAGGTGTCGAAAGAAGCTGCCATGCCTTCCGCTTGCCCCGTTTTCGGTCCGGGAAAACAGTCGATCAGGTCTTCCCTTTGTGCATATCCCTGTGCACTAAGCTTCTGGCGCCTGGACAATTATTTGAACAGCCATCCCTGTTCATTTGCTCGTAAATACATCAATGGGGTGTTTTGGAATAGATCCCCTTACCGGCAGCCTTCAGGGATAGCTCGGTTCGAGCGGCTCGATCTCGTTGCCGATGGTCCACCAGAGGATCGCAGGGGAGTCCCTCGGCGGCGGCGAACACCCCCCCCAAATTGGGGGGCCGTCCTTTTGGTGTCCCTTTAAAACCAACCGAAAAGGGGTACCTTGAACACACACAGCCACATGGGTGTGGGCAATCGCTCTTGCGATACCAAGAGGGCTCCCATGACTATGTCACTTGGGGGGTTGTTAGGCACAGCAAACAGATGCCACAATAAAACAAAAATTGTCCACGACCATAACATGGGTCCAAGGGGAGAAATGCGGCAATAGTTAAAGCCAAGAGTCTTTTCTCACAAAGGTGTAGGCATTCCCTCATTTTGAGACACACCCATAGTAACCGTCGAGAATGAGAGCTAGCTCACATGAAGCTCAGTATGGTGCTTGTCTTTAATGACTTCGAAAATCTACAGGGCGTCAGACCAAGACACACATCCAGCACGCTATGGGCACCTAAATAGATCACCCCAGCCATCCGAGAACGGAAAGGTGTTCAGTTGTTTTCAGGTTGGTTTAGTGGGGATTTTCCACCAAACCACTGATAGTTAAACTTTTAGCAACGGATCTGAGGACAGCCCGGAATCGATCTGAAAAGGGCCGAACTTTGAAGCTCTGAAGTCATATGCCTCCACTTGAGCAACCTGCCACGTGCGGCCATAAACCAAGCCAGACTCCGGAGAGTGTCTCTGCACTGGCATCTACAGTTTGCGCCAATTCAGGGCTTGCCACCCAGAAGTCGTGTGTTTTCCCCACGGTGCAGGGCAGCGTTTTGAGAACTGGGCATGTGGGTCGGTTGGGTCGTTTCAGAGATTTTGCTGTTTGCTTGACCCCTCTATAAACCCCCCCCTCCAGTGTTAATCAGGTGGGTTCCCTTTTCCAAAGATTCCGCGCTAAAGGCCCCGCGCCCAATCGCCCAGATGGCCGGCCCCAGGCGCTTGAAAGCCGCCACCCCCTCCACGATGCGCGCCAGCTCCGTCTGCCAATAGGGGTCCTGCGGCTGCAATGCAGCGGGAATCAACCAATGGGGGTGCCATTTTTATGGGCCCCTGGTCTTCCTTTGGAACCGACCAAAAAGGGGTACCCCAAGGGAAGACAGGCTCATGTAGGGAAGCATCCCTTTGAGGGATTTGGGGTGCAAGCAATTTTCAGCAAATTGCCACCGGGCTGTGCCATGCAAAGCAAAGAGAGAAGACTGCTTCCTGTCTGATTCTGAACGTCGGGGCATCGATCACATTGATCCTTAAAACCCCGAACACCTTCAGGTGGTTGGTTTCCCTACCGTCCATACACATTGAAACCCTGAATGAGGAACAATTTGGGTGCCCTGCTCACTTAGAGAAATGCCCCATGCCATGCTGTTCACGGCCAGCAGCAAAGGCGGGTTGCAAGAATGACACGGAAGACAAACGATCCGGGGTCGGAGGTTTCATGGTCCCAAGATAAACCTCTGGATAAATTTGGGGTGTGAAACTCGGGATCAACGCTTCGAGCTCCCCACTTGTTTCCTAGACTTCAGGTCAATAGCTTTCATTTAGTCCCGTCCCATAGGATGAAGAAAGGTGCCACGCATGCTACATGGGCCAAACATAACGCATGTCTTTGAGATGGATGGGCTTCACTCAAACATGGCCTCGCACATCAAACCTCGCTGGATCCGAGGGCCTCTTCCACTTCAACTCAAGGGAGACAGTATGGAGTCGGAAGGCGTAACTTGCGATGGGCGAATATCGCCAACTTGGAACCCAAGGTTTAAAAACAAAAAATTGAAAATGCAAAAATGATGATAATAATAATAATAATAGCAATAATACTAAGAATAATAAGACTAATTATGGTAATAATAGTTCTAGTAGTAATGAGAATCATACTACTAAGCATGACAATACTGATAGTACTGATTGAAAATAATAATGATAACAATAGCAATAATCATAATGATGGTAATGATGATAATTAATGATGATAGTTAATGATGATAATGATGATAATCATAATGATGATAAGAATAACACGAATGATGATGATGATGATGATGATAATAATAATTAATAATAATAATAATAATAGAAATAATAGAAATAATAATGATAATAATAATAGTAACAGTAATAATAATGATACTAATACTAATAATAATAATGATAGCTGTAGTAAGAATAATACAAATCATGATAATAGTCTAACAATAATAATGATAAGTCGTACTAAAAATGATAATAATTCATAATAATAATAATAAAATGCTACTTATAATACTAATCATAATGACAATAGTAGTAATAATAACAACGATAATAATAATACCAATATCAATGAACACAATTGTAGTAATAATAAAAATGATAATGATAATGACAACAGTGAACAAAGTATAATAATAATGATACTAATAGTAATAGTAGTAATAATAATAAAGATAATACTAATAAGTTCAGGACTTTGTGCGAGCTTGCGAATCTCAAAAGCTTTCCAAGAGGAACCAAAAAAAAGGCGCACGGAAGGCAACCAGCCCATCAGATCCCCAAGAAAGGAACCTTCACTGAAGTCCCTTACCGTACTGTCCTACCCCTCAGCACAGTCAAACACTGCTATGATCCCTGTTTCCGCATCGAGCACAGCTTGTACGTTTGTATGAATGTGTACAAAATTATAGACATAAATATATATATATATACACATATATATCTACATATATATATTATACATACATGTGGATGATCCTGTTTATCGTTCCCGTTGTGGCTGCGGCGACTTCTATTGGCCATTTGCGTCCAAGATGTGCACGGTCCCGCCAGGCTTTTGCCTCTCTGGCTCTGACCCTGCCAAAAATGAGATGCAACCACAAAAGGGAGGGCTTCTCCTATTCACAAGCCCATCCACACTTGCCCATCCAAACCTCTCCTCAGAAATGTTGGAGCAGTTCCTGAGCTGTCGTGTCCCAAACTCACTATGACGTCGAGCCGCTTGATGATTTCTTGCGCTCCCAAGGGACTTTCAGAAGTGCTTCGTGAACAACTTACAGTCAAGCTTGTTACCTTGTCTGTTCTTGGATAGCTTCTCATGAATTGTCTCACTCCCAAGTCAATCTTTGCAATGAGAAGTTGCATCTCTGCAACTTGTTTCAAAGGGAAATCGCTGGCTTGTTCAATCGGGCAAGTTGGAAATTACCCTTCTAAGCGTGCATGGCTGGCATGGGTGTCGCCCAATTGTGGCTGGTATAGTCTTGGGTCACCCAGTCACCCAGTCACCCAGTCACCCAGTCACCCAGTCATGGTTAGCACAAGGTTGTGCTTGTAAAGGACCATGTCCACCCCAACAAACAGAACAGACCTTTCGCAGATGCAACCCGTGGATTCAAAGCGGAGGTTGACAGAGCTTCTAAACCAAAAAACGGGCAGGGTTGAATCAAACCGAGGCAAAATTACATGTCCTGTCTCTTCTTCCGTTGTCAACATGTGTTCGCCCCTTGGACGAACAAGTCGCCAACAAAACGCCTTCCCCGATTCCCCACCCCCTTTCCCCCCAACTTACCCCCAAAAGGGAACCTCCCAGGCCGTCAAACCGAGGTGCTGGTAGTGCTCCCTGTCGTGGGTCAGCCAAATGCCCGCGGAGATCTTCATGCCCAAAGCTTCCGCTTCTGGCATCGGCCCGTGCAGACGAATCGACCAAACATCTGGAACCCCTGAATGGCCGTGGGTCAAGAATAGGGTAACCCCGAAATGGGTTGCCCTGGTAAGTGGAAACATGGACCAAAGTCTGCGGTTTGTTGTTGGTTTAATTTTGACCCACACCCGAATAGATCAAAACCTAAGTCTGGATCACGAAATCTGTGAATGCCAACTCGACCCAGCAGCTACACTGATTTGAGAGTAGATGGCTCAACCCCAGTCACAAAAAAAAGTAGATGGCACATCTGGTCGGGGGGTCGTTCACAAATAGTAGATGGCGCTAGTCTTGCTGAAAACTGGAACGGAGCCATCTACTATTGACAAAAATCAGGCGTTTCAAAAACCTGCGTCATCTACTTTTGACAGCCTATAATTAGTATGTGTCCAGGTCGTTGAGTCGAACTCCTTTTTTCAGATGTCCATCTGAAATAGCTTTGGTCGTGGCACTGCTGACCTCCCCCGCTCCTACCCTCCCCTCCGGCCCGGCAAAACAAAGGTGATGGCGCCATTCTTGTTGAAGTACTGCATTGCTAAACTTAATGTAGTATTGCCAATATTAGACTTAGCATGCAAATACTAGTTTTCAGTACTGCCAATACAAGTTTAGGACTGCCAGTGCTAAACTTCACATTGTTCTATCTTTGCGTATGCCCTGCAAAGGCGGTCTGCGGAAAGATGGAAACGTTGAAAGTGCACGCGCTTTGCAAAGCGAATCCTCCGAATACTCACTTTAAACAGCCAGAACCAAATCTAGCATTGCCAGGACCAAATGTGGTATTGCCAGTATCAAATTTAGTCTTGCCCGCACCAAATTTGGTATTTTCAAACCTACATTTAGTGTTGCCACCACTTAATTGCGTATCCGTGCGAAAATGTTTTTGTCTCTGGCTGTGGCCACCCAAGCCGGAAAGAGTTGTGCCATCCACTCTGGCCAGAATATGTCCGATAACTTTCCGATAATTGATAATCTCCGTTTGGCAATAGTAGATGGCACTCCCCCCCATTTGTTGAGCCATCTACTCTCAAATCAGAGTAACCAAAAAACAAACACGATATGTTCATGAGTGATTTCGGCCGTAAGCCAAATTCCCCTGTCGGGTCGATCGCTTTCGTTTGCCCTTCCGACCGTTGCATGTGTGTAAGTGTAAGAAGTCACATCTGTGTATTATAAATTCATGCATTTATCACGTACATGTACATGAATGGATGTGTAGCGAGGAAATGAACCAGAAATGCCCGAGGCAAAACTGCGCGGGCGAGGAAGAAACACCCGCCTGGAAGTCGCAAAAACTCATGTCAAGTGGAGACAGGTGGGGCAAGCAACAGGGCCGGAAGTCGAATACCGCTCCCTCTGAAAAGGACTGGCAGACTTGCATCGACTGCAGCAGAGAGGCCAAGCAAGAGAATAGGCGAGCAGTATCATCAGCTGCATTCTTGTGAGAAATGAGTAACAGGTTGCTACAATAGTTTGTTGAACGGTACGTATCGCTTGTTGCACCTGGCTTCTTCGAAGCGAAGGCATCTTTTCGTTGTCAAGTCGAAGGCGGATAATCAAGATACAAAAAAAATATCCGTGGCGTAAAGTGCAAAGAGATGTTTAGAGGCTGCTCAATTTCGTTGAAACCTGACAGAAATGAGAGGCAAGCAACTTCAACTCCAAAGCGAGCGGGACTCGTTTTTCAGTCGGCGCAACCGCGTGTTGAACGAATGAGCGCTTGCAGAAAGGAACCCCTTCAAGTCCAGCATCACCGGTGCTTTCGTACAGGACATGATCTTCCGCTGAAAAGTAGATGTCGAGCCCGCGATAGTCCGCAAGCAAAAGTGGTCGACACCTCCAAGCACTGCCTATACTCGGGGCGATATGTTTGTCGTGGCATCGCACCTCGGCAACGGCGGTGTCCAAACACGACTGTTGAGAGCTTTCAACGGCCAATGAGGCAAATTGCACTTTTCGATCTCGAGGTGACTTGGTCTGAGTCTTTGTAAACTAAAGTGGTCGTGCCTTTGTAAAGGAATGTGTTTCCCTAACAAAAGAACCGTCGCTCTGGTCCGGCTAAAGTGGTCATCGAAACTTGCGTCTGGACCCGGAAGTTGCGGTTTGAGCCGGAAGTCGAGTCAAGTGCTGCTTGAAAAGGAAATCTACTCGACTTGTTGGTGCTCAGGGAATGTGGGAATGAACCCGGGGGTCCCCTAGGAAACCGCCAGGGATGGTGTGTAAGGGTCATTCCCTCATTCCCTGCTGAGCACCAGCAAGTTGAGTCGACTGCAGAAGACATTCAAAGGAAGAGATGAGGCGCGCTCTGGTTGATCAGAGTTTTGGCTGGCGTGGACAAAGACTACAAAAGCCGCAGCCCTGAGCACGGCAGAAGCATTGTAAAAGGAAGGAAGAACAAAATCGCGGCTCCGCGTCCATGCAGAGGTACCCAATTATCCCGGCAAGAGACCCCAAATAGTATTGTGTCCAACTTGACGACAGGTGGCCCAGAAGCATAGAAAAACGTTAAATAAACACTGACGCCTCTCCCACCTGATGAGATCGTAAACACGTCGGTGCCCCTGCTCAAGCGTAGATTCTGATGAGCAAGCTCAGCATCATGCTTCACAATCTCTCGTGTCAACTTCTCGCGCGCGTGATGCTGTGGCTTGATGTTGCGCGCGAAGCTGCGTGATGTTGCGCGTGATGTTGCGCGCGATGTCGCATGACGTTGCGCGAAATGCAGCGCATGATGCTGCGCATGATGTTCTGCAACCTCGCTTGCCAAATCTTGAATGTCCTCTGTTGAAAAACTCTCTTGTCCATATCTGTGAGCAGCTGCTGGCAATTTTAGCTGCGGAAGTGTACTTCGCATACTACCTGAACCGCGCGAGCGCGCTTCGCGCGCACGTTGCCATTTACGATTTTGCAGCCGGAGCTGCGGGAATGCACTTTATGTACAATTTGGACTTAAGAGTTGCAAGCCTCGTGCCATGGGAACGCACTTCGTACACTCATACAAAGTTGCAACTTTGCAGCTGGAGCTCCGGAGCGCACTTCGCGTAGGACTTTTGCACTAAAAACCTGCCAATTTCGAGCTGGAGCTGCGGGAGCGCACTTCCAGTACTACTCTTGTACTTAAAATTGCGATTTTGCAAGCTGGAGCTCTGGAGTGCTCTTCGCGTACTACTTTTGCACTTGAAACTTGCGAGCTTTCAGCCGGAGTTGAGGGAATGTCCTCCGCAAACTACTTTTGTACCTAGAAGTTGCGAACTTCGAGCCGGAGCTGCGGGAGTGCACTTCGCGTACTACTTTTGAACTTGAAATTGCGATTTTGCAGCCGGAGCTCCGGAGTGCTCATCGCGTACTACTTTTGTACTTAAAAAGCGCGATTTTACAGCCGGAGCTGCGGGAACGCGCTTCCCGTACTACTTTTTGCACCTAGAAGTTGAGAATTTCAAGCCGCAGATGCGGGAGCGCACTTTGCGCGCCAGCTTTGTACGTAAACGTTCCCTGCGCGGCCGGAGATGCGGGAGGGCACGTCGCACCTCGCACGGTGCCACAGCGAGAGCGCTTCGACACGCACGATCTCCGCAGAGGGTTCGCTGAGCTCAAGACAAATTCGCACGGTGCCACAGCGAGAGCGCTTCGACACGCACGATCTCCGCAGAGGGTTCGCTGAGCTCAAGACAAATTCGCACGGCGCCACAGCCAGAGCGCTTCGACACGCACGATCTCCGCAGAGGGTTCGCCGAGCTCAAGACAAATTCGCACGGCGCCACAGCCAGAGCGCTTCGACACGCACGATCTCCGCAGAGGGTTCGCCGAGCGCAAGACAAATTCGCACGGCGCCACAGCCCGAGCGCTTCGACACGCACGATCTCCGCAAAGGGTTCACTTTCGGCTTGCAACGCCTGCAAATGAGCGAAACGCTTCGCCTGCCACGAAATTCACAAACCCTGTTTCCGAAAATGCTGCGCCTGCCACGCATCATTTGCATCAGCGCAAAACATGCTGCGCCCACCACGAGAAATGCACGGCAGTCTCACAGAATGCTGCGCTGGCCATGGAATTCTGCGGCAACACACAAATCCGAAGATCGGCGCAGTTTTGAAGAAAGGTCCGTTTCGTGCGAAGCTGTCGCACGCGAGACAACTTTTTGCGACAACGGCCATGGCTTTAGAGCTCCGGTTGTCCAAGCGTGGTAGCCTGACCCGACAAGAAGATATCACCGCGTGGCGGCCCTGCCATCAAAAAACGCACTTTGGTCTCAAAAAAACGCGTTTGGCACGAGGCTTCCTCAAAAAACACACCCCGCGTCGCAGCCCGCACTTCCCAACTGTTGCCCCTGCCAGCAAAAGCTGAAAAGTGCGAACGGCACCACAGCGAGACGCACGCACCGGCGCGAACCTCCATTTCGTGCGAGACTGTCGCATCGAAGACAACTTTTTACGCACAGGGCCAGCAATTTGAGCCGACACCTCGATCTACACCAGGCCTTACCTCTTACCGTAAGAACCCCTTAGTGTAAACACTATTTGGGGAAAAATCCGCGTGTTAAAAAATAGACATATATATATATATATACATACAGAGCTAGATACACGTGCGTAGCCATACGCGTCTGCGTCCGTCTGTCTTTCGCCGCTGATGTTTTTCACCGCGGGTCCTTCGATGGTGGCGTTCAGCTGATCCAGGCCCCAGGTCCTCGGGAAGCTTTTGGAAAACGAACCAAGGCCTGGGCTGGAAAAACCACCGGGGGGGGCCCCCCAAAAGAACCCAACAAGACGGGGAGCCAACAATCCGGGGAAGAGGTTCAGGATCTGACGCTCAAAAGGGTACAGGTACAGCGGACTTTTTTCCCACCGAGCCGGTTGAACCTGGTCTTTGCAAGGTTTGGGTCCTTGAGGGGGAATTAAAACAAAGCCCGGGCACAGTTTGCTTTAAAGTTGGACGGGTCAGAAAGGTCATATCTCTGGGGTAAGGGACGCTTTTGCACTTAGATCTCCTTTGTCTTGATGGATCACATGCATTCCTGTAGAGAGAGCCCTTTTTAAATATGGACATGAAACCGAAGAGAATTGGTTGCTCCCCCCACTCCAAAAACCGCACAAGAATCAGGGTTTAGGATGCCGCGGGGTACACCTTGAGAAACGAATACCGGCATTCAGATCCGCATGTAGAGACCCTGTGGCTCTGAGAGATGTCAATTTCAAAGAATCCCAAACTTTCCTCTCACCCATTCCCAAGACTTCGCCTCCCGAAATGTTGGCAATGTTTTTTCTTCCTAGGATCCCTCGGTTGGAACAATGGTAGAATTGTACGTTCGGAACTCAATGAGAACAAACACACGCTTCCCCATCACGTCCACAAAAACGCCATACACGATGAGACCGGGCATCTAAAAAATAGTGTGCTTGGCACCAATGAGGTTTGCCTCTAAAGCGTGCTTTTTCCATGTGGTTTTCCCTTGGCAACCCCTGTGAGGGTTCCACTAAAGAAAGGGCCCCAAATTGCTGAAACTGTTGCATGCATGGCCATCTGCTCCCCAGCACGTGTCAAAACCGGCAACATCGACCTTTGTTTCGCCATTTGGAGCATATGCTCGCCCAAAAAAAACTAGTTGCCAGGTGTTATCCTCCCTGTGGAAATCGACAGCAGCCTTCATGGAGAGCCGTATTTAAATCACCCTCCCAGTTTCCTTTTGAAGAAGTCCACTTGAAGGGGCGATCGGGTACTTAGTATGTGGTTAGTAAGCTTGGCTATATTCCAGTTAGACTTAAAACCATGGTAAGTGGGTAAAAACCCTGGTTATTACCCACTTATTAGGTACCCTGCCCCTTTAAGCATGAACTGGTTGTTTGAATCGATTGCGCCCAACCCTGGCAAGGGCTACATGCGGCCCATCAAACAGCATGCGGACGCCTGGTCAATCAAACCCCACGGTTAATCATCGCGGGGTGCCCTAAAAGAAAGAAAACCACCAGCAAAAAAGAAGAGTCCCCGTCAACAAAACATCAGGCAAAACATGAATTGAAATCCCGTAGCACAAGAGCATAAAAAGTCGGGCTCCAAAACAAACCGAGCGACAAAAAGTCCAGCGCCGAACACCAAAACTTCACAAAGTCAACAAAACCCCCCAAAAAAACAGCTGACAACGGGTCCGGCGTCACGGACCAAAAAAAAACCGGGGGGGGGGGGGGGGGGGCATCCGGCGCCAGAGGTCGAGCCAGCGGAGCATCCGAGGCTCCGGGCCGCAGGGCTTCGGCCCCGGAGCTCCTCGCTGCGGCGATGTGCCTCGCGCGGACTCCGCCGCCGGAGCCCGGGCGCTTCGGCTGGGGAACTCCAAAAGTTTGCGGAGAATCGACCCGACCAAAAAAAGAAGCGTATCCGTATGAGAGAAACACGTGAAAAGCTGTGAAGAGAAGAAGGTGCGTGAGCTTCTATGAGGGAAGGAAGTGGTGCTCGTCCCCATGCTATTGGATTGGATCAGTGGCCCTTTTGCTTGGTGGAAATATGTTCCAATATCCATCAACAAGACAAACTTCTCTAGAGGCAACTTCCAATTATGTTCACGGATTCTTCTCCCAGAAAACACCCAAACCCAAGGCCGCACCAAACCGTTCGTGTATTTTGCCGCAGGTTGGAAATTATATTCTTACAAACGGAGGTTGTCATCCGACTAATCAAGGGGCACCACACCCTTCCCGGACCCTTTTAAAAGGCACTCATTCATTCTTTGCGGGGGTTGCGGAAAGTCTTGGTCTCCCAAACAGCATCGCCCAATGAGCCTTCCGGACCCTGCCCCAGAATTCCAAACCCAGAATTGGCTAAGGCCCCACTGCTATCGCATCGGCTGTTGTTGGCAGGAATTGCAAGAATCTACGAGCGAGATTGTCTCAGGCGCAATAGTGGATTGGTTTTCTTCGGCTGTCGCTTCTTTGGAACCTGCAAACAAGCCTGTGTGTGTGTGTGTCCTTTGCCGGGTTTTGACCAGCTTAAAGTGTGGGAACAGCAAGACATTTCAGTAGGCTGGTTTGCCCAGATTGTGTGACTGAGTTCTTAAGTCAGGTTTGATTGAAACTTCTTTGCCGTAAATACGAATGTCGACAGCTGCTACATTTGGAAAAGTGTAAGCTGCTGATCCCAAGATTGGCCACCACCCCCCCCTTTTCAGCGTTCAAAGGGATGTGCAACCAATCACTGTTGAGAGGCTCCTTGTCTTGCTGGGGCTCAGCAGGGAATGAGGGAATGACCCTTGTAAACCATCCCTTGTGACTTCCTTTCTCATTCCCTCTATGGCAGCCCTACCCTTGCACCCCTCCAGTCTGCCCCTCGAGCCGCAACTCCAGGGCCCGCGCGTGAATCCGCCGGCGCCCTTCACAGTGCCCGCGAGACCGAGCAGTCCTCTGCTGAAAGGGGGCGATCGAGTACGTCAGCTAAGTGGATTAGTAAGCTTGGCTATATTCCACTTAGACTTAAAACCATGGTAAGTGGGTTATAACCCTGGTTACTACCCACTTATTAGGTGCCCTGCCCCTTTTAGGTGGAGATGCTACCAAGTTTGCTTTTTCCACGGGCCCGGTGACTTGCACCGGGTACACAAACGACATGCCTGGCTCGGCGCATGGCTTTCGCCAAAAAGTTAGGCATGGCCCACGGGCGAAGGCAAGACCCGCCGTTTCCGTCTGGCTGGGAGGCCAGCCAATGGCCTCATCCCAAGGCTGGATAAATTGGACACATCTCTTCCGAAATCTTCATGGCCCCCGAAATCATCCGAAACCCTCGGCGCAGAGGAAATAGAAGCCGCCCTTCTGAAGGGATGGCTCAACTTGGCATGCCCATAAAAACTTGGGCAAGAGGAAAAACAACGCGGGGTTTCATACTGCAAGGACCAACAAACCAAAAGATACGCAAACCGGGACTCGGAAAAATGTGGAAAGAGCTGGCGCGCACGAGGAGGCCGGGATGGTCGACAGGGTTCCTGACATGATCCTCAAAAGATGGTGATTCAACTGCCTTGCTTTTGAACCCCTAGGTGCAGGTAAGGTCAGTTTGCCTCATGTCACCCCCGGTCCCAAAGTATGGCGCTCAAAAAGCTCCGGGGAGGTGCTATGTGGCACCAGGGGCAAGTGATTGCTGTTGGAAAATAAACAATCACGGCGGAAACCAACGGGATCTCTGAATTTGACAAAGTGATAAAACGCTCTGGGCTCTGGGCGTGGGGACTGCGAATCACAAGGCACACGATGCAGGTACTGGATGTGGGTCAAAACTAGGGTAACCCCGAAATGGAGCTTCCTGGCAAATGAAAAGGACTTTAATTCCCAATGGTCCATATCCCGGTGCTCTAATTTTGACCCAGACCCAATTCCGGCTTCCCGTTTCGGGACTCTCGTGTAGGTTTCTGACCCACCCAGGCTCGCATGCCCGGTCCTGACTTTGAGGATGAGACCTGGGAGCTCAGAGGCGGGGCAAAGCTCCATGGTGCTTTTCAAACACCCTGACTCGGGTCTCAAACCAGGTTACAGGTATGCGGCCACATAGACACATGTGTTTAAATACATAGAGAGAAAGAGGGAGATAGAGAGAGAAATGCCTTGAAGCCTTGCTCTAACGGTGATCTTGTAGGACTTGCAGTCATCCCCGTTGTTGTATTAAACAAGCCTTGTCTACAAAAGAACCTCCTACGTTCTACTACAAGCCCACAAAATAACCTCTTGCTGTCCGAACAATAACCCTTGATTTTCTACTCCCCTTCTGGTCGACCTGACAACCCCTCAGTCTTACTCAACCAGCCATTGTTGTCTACAACCCATATTGCCTACGAAAAGAGATTGATCGTCAATTGACAGCACTTCAGGTGCACGGACCCTTCTTTGTTTTGCAAAGCTTATTCCCTTCTTTGTTCCATGTACAAGGGGAAAGCGCCCTGCCCCAAATAAAAATCCACTGCAGAAGGGCCCCGCCAAACAAACGCACCAAGCGCCCCGGCCTGCCATACCCCGGAGGACTCATTCAGGAAGATCTGCTCCGCACCGGCCGAGACCGCAAGGAGTCCTAGGGCGGGCGTTGCCAGGTAAGTGGTGGCCACTTGGGCTATAACCAACTCACATCTGGATGGGGGACGTTTCTCAGTGGCTACGGATTACCAACCTTGGACCAAGCCGGGGGGGTCCTAAACTTTGACCTTTTGGGCAATGCTCAACCCTGAATCTTGTTGTGCATTTCTTCTAGCATCACTTCTGCGTCCACTTCTCGCAAGCCTTGCCACTGAGGTCCTCCAAGTGCAGCCTTAACTTGGGCGCCCAATAGCAACAGCACATAATTTGCCATTGGGCAAAAAGGAAGCCAAGAGACAACCAAAAGGCAGCCCAACAGGGATGTGATCTGAGTTCATAGTTTTCCAGACCTGTTAGCGAAGATGTGAGATGAGACCAAACACTCACCTACCTTTGCTTCTTTTTTCTGGGGAAACCAAAGGAATCTGCCCCATTGTGACGGGTCCAGTTGGGGTCTTGCCCGCCAGGCAAAAAACGGCGTGAAAAGCCAAGGGACCCCCTCAAGAGATAGACACGGCCCCTCTCGTCTCCCTTTAAGGATGTCAGAAAAGGCATCCCCTGTTGCCATGTGTGTGGTTTGAAGCACCCTCAACCGCATGCGGTCCAGGTTTGTTTCACCATAAGATGCAACTATGACCAGAAAACCCGGCCTCACTTGGCTGACGCCTTGGCCAACCCCTTTGAATCTTCAGCCTGATCTCAAGCCGCAAAAACGGGCTTCATGGTGGCGTCTCACCTTTACTGGCTTTCTTCAAGCCGCTTGAACACGTTTCAGGAGTTTTTGTTGGGGGGAGGCGGGGGGGGGGGGATTTTAAGGGGAACCAAGAGAATCCACCCGTTTGTGGGACCACCTATGCCCACGCTACTGGGATGGCAACGCTTCATGCAAAATGATCATGTCGCGAGTCGCGATGCCGTGCAGGAATCCGCCCACCCGCTCCTTGCCAAAACCGCAACATGGGGAGAAACAACGCGCAGCGCAGCGCAAGACACGCACACGCGCAGCTGGCGTTCTCAAGCCCCGTTTGGCTTGGGCCAAAACGATCCGGCGGCTTGCGAGTCGCCCTCAGACAAGCAGCAAATGAAGCGGCGCGCGAGCCTCATCCAATGGCCAGAGCCCACAAACGAACCGCTTGTGAAGTTCATCAGGCAAGTCGGAGAAGCTGGCAGTCAGCAGATTTTGTTCTATATGGACATGTGTGCAGGAAACAGCTCATGAACGGGAATCGCAGTTTCCTTATTCGGCGCACACCTACAACGAAGCCAGAGACCACAACCACCACAAGCAGACCAGTACACAACTGAACAACTAAACAGCCAAATCAAGCCGAACAAGCAACCAAGCTAACCAACCTAACCCAACCGAGCCGAGCCTGACCTAACCTAACCTAACATAACCCGCCCTAACATAACATAACCTAACCTAATCCAACCCAACCCAATCGAGGTCAAACCAACCAAGCAAACAAAAAAACAAGCCAAAAAACTAAACAAGACCGAAAACCAACAACTTCACAGCCGGACCTTACCCGCGTTGCCCCCCAGCCGCCCCCCGTTTCCCAGACCGCCAAGCACGCCGGGCACGGACCCCAGCAGCGATCGGACACCGAGCGCCTTTCGCCGGATGTCCAATGCCAAGACTCGGATGGGAGTTCCCTTCACATGGCTATGGGTCAAAGATTAAACCACCTAAAAGGCCACAGGTCTTGGTCATGTCCATTTATCGGGGTTCCAGCCAGAATTGGGTATGGGTCAAAAGGATATGGACCACAGGTTTTAGTCCTTTCCGTGTATCAGGGTTCCAGTTTGGGGTTACCGTTTTTTTGACGCACACCCTTATGTGCCAGGGTCAAACTCCTGTTCAACAACTTGTGGCCCGTGGTCATGGTTCCCTTACTATCCGAAATGCATAGGGTACTGCAGGGCAAACCACTGCCAGCTGGTATAAGGATTAGGGTTTAACTGTGAACCACCATGGTGGATTCCCTCAATGCAAAGTGAATTACAAGCTATCCTTTCTTTCCTGCTTTTGGACCAAAAATTACCAGTTGCTGCCACTGTTGGGTCAGAGGTCCAAACACGGGATAGTGTGGGACACCCCCCCAAAAAAAAATGGCAGGGGGATACGCAAGGGAACCTCCTGCTGAATTCCCTTTTGAACATCACTCCGCCTAAACCCCCTGGTGTTTTCGTTGGCTACAGCGAACACACAGGAAGCAAACCACTCGGCGCCATGCCAAGAAGTTCAAGCAATTGTTCAGAGCCTAACCTCGAGGCTCAATGTGCGCCATACCGTCAGCTTCTGCAAATGCCCCCCCGATCCATCCAACGCTATGCCTATAAGTGTAAAAATGATACGGAGGGTCTAGAGTCAAACCCATTTGGAGGTGTCCATGAGTTTGGACGCCAGTGGCATGTCGGGAGGTTTGGTCCAACGGGACATGGGCTGAAACATGTGTATCAACCACATGTGGGGAGAGAGAAAAATGAAAAGGACCTGGAGGTTGAGCGTGACCGCTGAGTGGATGACGGGAGTTGTCCAATGTTTCAGCGGAGAACAGGGGGGTCTGACAAAGACGGCCGCGATATGTCGAATGATCTCTGGGATGCCTTGGGCTGCTGGTGTTTATAGGCATAACTATATGTATAGATATATATATATATATATACTTCTATGTATATATAGTTTGCAGTACATGTATATGATGTGTATGTTTGGAAACATAACCTGTGTGTCTCTATGTCTCCATGTAGATCGACCAAACGGTACAAATGACCCTGGCATGCAACAAACAGCCACATGGCTGCTTGATTGAATCATCTTAGGTGTCTTTTGTCATGGGCATCCCATGAGTAATGAACTAATCCCAGAAGTGCACAACTAAGGCGCTCTGACTTGCAAGCAAGAACACCTGGGTATGAATTGCAATTCGGGACCCTTTGGTGGACACATGCCCCTCTGTGTGTCCAGAAACTGAACCCCAAAGCGTTTCAGCCCGGCCTCAGCGACGTCGCCTTGGGATTTCTTTTTCGGCGCTCTCGCGGCACCCCCCCCCCCCAATGTATATTTAGTTCTGGATTTATTTACTTACTTGCTTCTTTGGTGTATTTACTGATGTCTGTCTGTCTGCCTGCCTGCCTGCCTTTCTTTCTTTCTTTCTTTCTTTCCTTCCTTCCTTCCTTCCTTCTTTCTTTCTTTCTTTTCTTTTTTCCCTCTTTCTTTCTTTCTTTCTTTCTTTCTTTCTTTCCTTCCTTCCTTCTTTATTTCCTTCTTTCTGTCTGTCTGTCTGTCTGTCTGTCTGTGTCTGTCTTTGTCTCTGTCTCTGTCTCTGTCTCTGTCTCTGTCTCTGTCTGTCTCTGTCTCTTGTCTCTGTCTGTCTCTGTCTCTGTCTCTGTTTCTGTCTCTGTTTCTGTCTCTGTCCCTGTCTCTGTCTCTGTCTCTGTCTCTGTCTCTGTGTCTGTCTGTCTATCTGTCTCTTTGAGGATAACAACTAGCATCTATCAAAATAAGGGGCCCGTACCCCTAAAACACAAACACTCATATGCCCGAGGCATTTGCTTGGTGCCAAAGCCGTGGTTGACCTTCATCTACAAAGGCGGGGCTCTCGCAACAGTGCGTAAGCGAACAGTGATTGATGCTTGAGGATTTACACCCCGAGACACAACATTTACAAGCCAAACCGTCCTCATGGGGTGTTGGTTGGCTTGCCGAGGTTCCTCTTTGCTTTGTCCGAATGTTCTATCCACTCAGTAGTCTGCATGGAATGTTCCGATCAAATCGTTTCTTCCCCCCTTGTCGGGGCCTCCAAGATTTGCAGTCAGGCAAGACTATCATGACACGAGATGCATGAGCTTGAATCATTTTCCAAACAGAAAGAACAGTCAGTCAAGAAGCAAACATCCATGCGGAAGGGAAGGACACCGTCGTCATTCGGCATGTCAAAACAGGGGGTCATTAATGGAAGGCGTCAAATAGGAACCATTGGGATTGTTGACGCCTAGCTTTGCACAATTTCGGACCCTTCGCCTGGGTCGTTTTACACGAGGACCATTGACTGTTGGTTCTACCATCATGATAATGTCCATAAACCCCACAGTATCTAACACTTTATTGCCATCGTATAAAGGCTATATACCCCAAACTACCCTGGGTTTAGAGGCTGGGGGGTAGTGGAACCTTCGACAGCAGAGCAGTGTCTCAACAAATGGCCACTAGGCATCGGCGCCAAGTGGCGCTCCATTCGATTCCGACACCAACGGCCCATCGATGCCTTCTCGGCTGAAGAGCAGCTGTGCCAGCGGCACCGCGGTCACGGCCTGGCGCCAAAGGCCGCAACCAAAAGGCGTCGCGAGGATCGATGGTGTTGAGCTCACACTGAAAAACGGCAGTGGGTCAAAAATGTGTGCCCAACATGGAACCCTGAGAAATGGAAATAAGGACCAAACCTGCGGTCTTCTAGTGGTTTAGCTTTGACCCATCGTCAAATGTTCTAAGGAAACAACCCCCTTGAGGTCACAATTGGGCGTGTCTTGAAATAGGGAGCCCCGAAGAAAGGGTGGAAGACACGCCCTTTGCCCCCACACCAGGGTCAGTTCCGAGCTGAGCGTCGGGCCGCGATGCTGCGGATGGTGGCGCCCTGCTTCTGCGTGAGCCTCGAAAGGAACACAGGAGTCCAAACAGACAGGAGATATAAATACAAATTTGGCCATGGGTCAAAACCCCGTACTAGTGAACATCCCAATCCCCACTAAAATAATTGGACCATTTCACGAATGGCTCCAAAAAAGGAATGTGTGCTTCTGCTGGGTGCCACGGTCCATTTGAAGGTTGCCAATGTTGTGAGCAAGTGTTGTTATGTTTTGGAAACAAGCTTGCTGGAATTCACTAACCTCCAGGTGTCCTTTTCTGCTTGGGGAACTTCCAAACGGCTCAGTGTGGGCTACCTAAAACTTGCATCCATCTGCTGCTTATTTGCTCGCCCGTGAAAGCCACAACACCTCCTTCGCTTAGGGAATTGCGCAAGCCCCGCACATGAGCTGTGCGAAGTACCTGCATTCCATGATTTGGGATGTAGTTCTCCAGAGAACCCAGAGGGTGAAAAACGTTCACGTCCAGCAAAAGTCAAGTATTTCTCTACGAGCAAGCAGTTCATATGTCTGAATACCAGACACAGGCAGCTTCCCCCAAAGCGCCTGAGGCAAAGAAAGGTCTGCGTCGCATAGAGTGCGACCTTGGCCAACTGAGGAACCAGCCCAGCTGGATACAAATCAGCATGGGGCGTGGGTCGGTACAAGGGTTGCCGCGGATGGGATCGGATCTGAGCCGCACTTGACCTCTAGTGGAAGGCGGCCGATGCCAGCGTTTGAGTTTAGACCCTTTCACACAAAGGTCGCTGGATTCCCCAAATCCAAAAGTTGATCAGTTTGCTGGTGTCCACTAAAACGGATCGCGTTTGCAGGTTCCCTCAACAGGAACTTAGCTTGGAGGCCCGGTCACACGAAACCCATCTTTGGCACTGGCGCTGATCAGCGTGGTGCGCATGGCTAAGGGGCAACCTGGTGGAAAGCAGGGACGCCACATCCGGAGAAAGCCGAAGCAAGTATCAAAAATTAATCTCTATATATATATATATACTGGAAAAGTGCTGGCCAAACACACCAAACCAGGGTCCATGGGGGGGGACATGGGAAGGGTACCATGTACCCTCATGTGACACTATATAACCCCCACGTAACCCGCATGTGCATCTTCATACATGTGCATAAAGGTTACATGCCCAATGTAACCCTTGCATAAAGTGATATGGGGTAATAAATAATAACTATACAGAAGGGCCCCTAGTCAGCTCATTCAGGTGCCTTCCCTTTACATCCCCAGTAGCACATCTAGTTTCGAGAAGGCTTTGGAGCGCAGGCGAAGCTTTGGGGTTGGTCTCTCGGGAACTCTTCCAGCAAACCGATTGAGACTTTGAGGGAAAGACGGCGGAGATTGTTCGAGAGGGGATGTGGCTGTGCCTGAAAAATGGAATCCCCAAAATGGCACCCTGGCAAATGGAAACAACGACATGACCTGCGTTAACCGTGGCTCTTCAATTTCTGAGCCATGTGTTGCAACTGGGGACCTGCATGTCGACAAATCCAAGGCAGAACCAGCATTCTTCAGAAGCACCACAACCTTCAAGGAGCAGCATCATATACACACACACACACAAAAAAAAAAAAAACATAGCTGCTCACCCACAAATCGCTGAAATCGTTTGATCCGTTTAAACACCCTCCTGGCAGGTGTAAACAGTTTGAACGGCTTGAACGGTAGCACTCCAACAGCACACAGGCACCGCAACGAACCTCAAGCATCCCGCGCAGAGCGCTTTCATGAGGAAGAGAGGTGAGGCCTTTCTGTTCCAAAAGCGAGGGGTGTCCCCTTGGGTTGCCTCTTGTGGAAAACCGGTGCCCCTTTTTGCGATACTGTGGGGTGCTGGATTCCCATCGGAACTATTTTCAGAAGGGATTCCCCCACCAACATGCTGTTTGCCACAGCCGCAACTCCCAGAGCGAGGCGCCTAGGTCACCCTCCCGAGGCTGCTGACCGCCTGGCCAAAGACAAGGAGCCTCAACGGAGGGTGTTTCTGACAAAGTTCCTCAACACCTCTTGCAAGAACGCCTTGTGAGCGATGTGTTGCCGCAGTCTTCGAGATACCAAGTCCTCCATTCCAGCTCGCTCACATGCCAGGCGCACAGAAACAGCGGAAGCCATCGGCAAAGTCAGTGAAGAGACCTGGAGCCCGGATCATTGCCCCGGGGACCCAGGCCTCAAAAGGGGTGGAAGGTCGCAGCCAAAGAAGCGACTTTTCGCTGTGACTGTGCCTGTGCTCAAAGGGCCAGGCCCTTTGACCTGCCGTTGCCAACACGACTGGAAACGAAAGCAGCACGTTCCGTGCAAATCTCTGCTGCCACATGCAGCGTGCAAAGAGCCTTGCTGGTGCCCTGTTATCTGCACGACTTCATTAGAGGACAAGGAATTTCCCTGAATCGGCCATCCGATGCCACAAAGTCATAGCGCGCCCCCCGGGAACAAAAGGCCACAAAAAGGAGATTGTTGGAATCCCCGAGTTTTCGTGGGTGAGCGGCGGACCCCGAGCTCCCCCCCAGTCCTCTCGACGCCGTGCCAGGGTTTGGCCTCAGCAAACCAGGTTGCAGCTCCAAGAGGTATGCGGTGGGACCATTGTTCCAAGGTGTATTCAGGACCCTGGGTTTTTTCAGGGAAGCTCCAAGAGCGCTGACTCAGAGCGCGCCATGTGAGGGTTTCCCTTTAAACCAACACCCAAAAGGGTACCATCAAAAGAAGACACACCCAAATGCCCAATTGGCCTTTTCAGGGTGTTGATTCAACTGGCAAGTGGGGCTGGTCATGGACCCCTTCATGGTTGGTTAGGGGCAACCATTGAGAGGATTCCTACCAAAAAAAACGGATGACCCACATATACTGATTCAGAGCCACGGCAAGGGGAACCGTGGCAGGCTGGTGATCATTCGCAATACCGGCTTCGATTCCTTGTGGCGGCTTGGAGCCCTGTGGCTTGGGGTGGTTTCCCGTTTCCCGTTTACCACAAGTCCGGGGACCCGCGCGAAGTCCGAATCCGAACCACCGGGATCCAAACCACTGACCCATCAAATGATCTTCCCTTCGCCCTATGATTCGGTGGCTCCAGCCTGGGCAGCAATGCCAAAGCCACACCCAGGGGCACACGCCTCGCTGTCTCTTTGCGCGGGAGAATGCTCACGCCCGTTTGGAGACAATCCTGTGCTCGAAAACTAAATGAAACCTACAGTATTTTCCAAAATACCTCGCAAGAAAGCGCCACAACTAGGAATGCGACGAGCAAGTGGCGTGCAAAACAAGGAATAGCGGATCGCAACAAATGTTGCAGAACATAAGGGACGGAGCCGTTTGAAAGCGAAGGCTGAACATGTTGTGTCAAAACCAACATGCCTGAACATGGCGGGTCTCAAGGTTGCTGGGTTGGGAACAAGGCGACATTGTGCTGTTTCCAAGTGCAAAAATGAGAGATTGCAGGAAGGCGAGTCACTTCTTTGTAAGTTTGGTCGAAAAGCTCCAAACTGCTTCTGACTTGGACCTGCGTGTACACTTGCCAACTCTTCCTTCCCCTCCCCGCCTCCAAGCAATGGCCACGCCCAAGGACATGGTCTCGGCAAGGTTGTCACTGGCACGGGCTTCGGCACTCAAGCTGCTGTTGCTCTTGCTGGCCCCCCTGTTGTAACTGACTCCCCGCGCAAAATCCTGAGCTGCAAGAAAGCCAAACCACGAAAACCAAGAGCACAAACCACACAGGAGGGAAGCTCTGCCACCCCAGACCCATCCTCTTCAGCGCCTCTTCTGCAGCAGCGCCTCCTTCACCAACGTGGACGTCGCCACCACCACCTCTGAGCCCAAGGCCCGGGCGGTTCCAAGGAGTCCGGACCACAAGCTTCCCTTCATCGAAATCGGTATCTGTTGCTTGAGATGTGCACCGCGTCTTCCTCTTGGGGAGACAACACAACAGACCAATTCTATACGGGTGTGGCTCAAAATTAAACAGGAGGGGTTACGCAGGTTTTGGTCCATGTTTCCACTTACCAGGGTTCCATTTTGGTACCGGTTTTTTGAGTCACAGCCATATCGCACCCAGCTCGTATAGCTCCCTCGCCATGGCCTGGGCAAGGCAAAAGGTGAGGAGGCTCTTCCACAGGAGCTCCTGCGCCTTCATCTTCGCCTGAAGTTCCCGGGCGTGCTTCTCATTTGGGCGTGGCTCGAAAATCATCGGGGCCCAAACGGACTCCTGGCAAATGGAAAGGTTTGCCAAAACCGCTCTCCTGGCGCTTAATTGCTTGAGTCGCGCCCATTTGGTGGACAGTGTGTGTGTGTGTGTGTGCACTGAGCATGTGCAGCGAGCGGGTGTGCTTGCGCACTGCTAAGCGGCCAGAGTTTTCTGAGGGCCATGAGTTTCCTGCATGTAGAAACAGTTTCGTGAAACTCAGTGTCCTGAGTCGTGCACGAGTAGTTTCTAAGTCACCCAAAGGAAGTTTCCTGGTTGGCGCCAAATGGTTTCTGAAGCGCAGCTTCTGAATCGCAGGCAGCTTCTGAATCGGTGTCTGTTCCGTGGGAAATCACTGGCTGGTGTGGGATGTTGCATCATTTGTGTGAGGAGTTCTAAGGCGCGGCTTGCATTTTGTGGAAGACCCCCAAAATATACCTCGGAGAAGGGGATTTCTGTTCGCGTGACTTGCAGCCCCACCTGGGCCCCCGCGCATCCCAGTGGATGGCGCAGCCAGCCCCTGAGCCGGGTCGCCAGAATGACCGAAAATGGGTTTTGGGGCCACATGGCTCGTTGCTGGCGGACCAACTGAGCTGTCTCAGAGCCTGTGTTTTGGGATCACAACGTCTGCCCCTCAGATTCTTCACTGCATTTGTAAATCTCAAGCACGTGTTTGGTACCACAAAACGGGCCACATTAAGCTGATCACATTCCCACATGGGAGCGTGCCAAGAGCAAAGGCCCGTCAAATGCTTGACAGCTCTTGTTGATTCCCTTTGAAACACCCGAGCAAGAAAGGGTCCAAAATTTCAGGGTAAAAACCGGTCCGCGCTAGTCGCCTGGTGGAAGAACTTGTTGGGTGTTGGCTGATCTTGCTCGCAGCATGTCATGCAACATGAAACTACTTGGCTTGGTCAATTCTGCAACAATTTCGCCATGCTCCCCACAAAGCGTTAGGTGAAGCCGCTTCTAAGCTTCTCCGCAACACAAATTGGTAACTTCTTTGCTTCAGATGCTCATTCGCATCCCATTTGTCACCGACATTTGAGCACAGCTGGAAGGCAAAAAGCAAGGACTGCCATCCCCTGTCAAAGGTTTGAGTTTCACGAATCTTGACAGCTTTACAGAAGCTGGGCGTCAGATGCTAGAGGCTGCGCGAATCTGAAGATTGGGTCTTGACGGTCTGTACGGCCCAGACTACTCACGCGTGACTTCAACCAACTAACAGTTGGTCGGACTGTAAAAAAGCAACTGGTGCGCGAGCAGCGAAGCTGTTAGCAAAGCGACACAGATATGGCACCGGGATCTGTGGATGCGCCTACAGAGCCAGAGCACGATGGCGGAATGTACATCATAATCCCCCCACCAAGTAGTTTGCCAAAGTTTGTCCCTCCCTTCTGGGTGAGTGCCAAAACCACCGGACATGATGTTTCACCGAAACGGGAGACGTCTGCAATCCACGTCCACCCATTGTCACCTCACCACCCGGCCCGGCCGAAGCGCCGAAGCCGGGCCTGCCAGCACCAAGCCGGCGCCCAGGAGCTGCCGGGCACCGTAGCGCCGCCCCAGGCAGCACAGAGACCTCGAAGCTGGGAACGGTTTCCCTTCCACCCAGAGGGGTAACATCAGCAAACCTTAAGGGGACATTTACCCAAGAGTATGTACAACCCCTAGAAAGAAAAGAATTCCCCCAGAGGTCCGGAACCCCCTTTGTGAAGCATGATTGACGCTAGGCTTCTTTTCAAAGCGCTTTGAATTGAAATGTTGGACTGAATAGTTGATGGATCAATCCCACTGTTCTGCATGCGGAATGTCACTAGCACCAAAGAGCTCCCAACGTGCGCAAACCGTCCAAACCGCCAGAACCGCCCCGAAGCGCCCAAAGCCGCCCTGGTCAGGCCCTCTGCCGAGCTGCAGGAGCATCGTCAGTGGAAGTACAGACTGATTCACCAGGACCTTCCCAGAAAGGGCGCCGGAAAATTCATTGGTGGCAACAAAGCCGGTGAGGTTACTTCCAACAAATCAAGGCCTTCTGATCCGTTCAAAGCCGCCATTGTGCGAAGCTTATCCAAAACTTGAAATCCTGGGGAAGTTCCAACATGGGAGCCAACATGAAACTAACCAATTGGGCGAATCCCTAGCTGGAACCAAAGCACTAATTTGACGACGCCCAGGCCTGAGATAAGGCACGCAAGGATCTTTCAATGGTGAGGTTGATTCACTCTCCACGCTCGCTGCCAGTTGTGCAAATCATCGACTACTTGTTCCGCCTCTTGCAAGGAGAGAAGAAAACAAAAAACAAAAAACAGCTCCCCTCCCCCTCCCACACCAAAACCAGCAACACTCTTGGAAGCAACCAGCTCTCCCATCCGAGCGGCTACGTCGCCTGCACCTGGCCAGGCACATGAGTTGCGCCCAGGCTCGCCAGCAGCGTTCCTGACCAATGGGCATCAAAAGCCCGCCCTGCAAAAGACCCGGCAAAGCAAGGGGAAGGCCTTCAAACCTCTCCATTTCGGTAGCCATTTGGACATTGGATTCAAAAAAACATAGGTTCCACCAGCAAATGATCAAAAGCAAACTGAAACCAATGCCCCCAAACTCACCTGAAAGGACACCAAGAAGAACTGAGGTTGTCATTCCTGTTTCATGGTCAACACCAATATCCGCTCAGTTCTATCTTCACGCATCAAGGATGTCTCACTTCACTGGAAACCTGCTGAATCCCCAACCCCCACCCTTTCTACTTCAAGAAAGCCAAGGCTGGCGCTACTGTTTGATAAGAACGCTAGCCATCCCCAAATGAACTCAAACCCGGTGCCCCATGCACTCGGATGAGGATTTCCAGGAAGCTCCTCTGGGAGGAACCCAACGCCAAACACCACGCCCTCGTTGGACGAGTGCCGGACCTAGCTGGTCGGCTGCAGCAGCACGCAGCAGCCCCCGCCGCTCCACCACCGTTTGCTTCACGCCTGAAGCGTCCGTCTCAAGCGCAGCGCTTCGGCTACCCCCAATCCACTACCAGTGGGAGACTCGATACATAAGTGTGTACAAAAGTATTGAAGTATCCTTTCTGTAGTGATTATAATACAGTGGTGACATATCCCATTATACTATTCCTGGGACAAGTGGTGCTAGTCTCAAGTGCTTCCGGCCGATGCAGGTAGTGCGGGTGTTTGGCAAGGTATACTCCGTGGTGGTAAATGGTGCTCAAGGAAAACCACTCAAACTGAGCGCTTGCTTTGGAAAGATCTGCGCGCTTACGCCAGCTATATCATAACCACTGTCCGCAATACCTGTTGAGTTGTTGATATACTTTGTATTCGAAATCTGAAGCTTTTTACCTTCTGGCAGGCAAGAATGCCATATCGCAGCTGCACGTGACGACATGTGACACGGCGACATCGGCGTTGAGCCAGGATTGACCCTGAGCCTAGCGAGAAAATCAATGAAGCCCTTCGGTTCTGTGTAGGTCCCTCCAGGTTCTCACATTGACCATGGACTTGCAGATATGTTGACCGGTTCTCCGTGCAACCCGCCAAAAACAAACATGCCATATTCCATTCAGAGCGACTTTCCTTCAAGCTCCATACTTGGGATTGCTTGCCACTGTAGTTCCGATTCAGGTCGCAAGAACAGCGAAACAATTGCTTGGAGTTGTGCGCAGGCCTTGGCAAATGACCCCTGTCCAGCTGAAACGTTGAAACGGATTTGGAAAACCTTCACTGTGCTGCCACAAAGCGCGGCCACCTCTTCTCACCGAAACAATGTGCTGAGCTGGGCGGCGACCCCGTTGAATCAGCCAGCCAGCCATTTCGCCGGGGAGCTAGCTGTTGTTGTGTCCTTCGTTTTTGGGAGAAAGGTCGACAAGTTCTTCCGGTCAAGGCCAAAGAGCAACGCCCTCGCCAAAAGGAAGGCCCAACCCAGCGAACCGGACTCGGCCTGCAAGCTTGCCGGCCTTGGCTCGGGCGAACATGGATCATTTTGGAAACAGGTCCATAGCACCTTCCACGAAGGAACTCTTGGATCTCACTTAGAACCTTTTGCTGGTGCCCAAATGAACCCGAGAGTCTCCCTTGCACATAGGAACTAGAAATAAGCCTCGTGCTGTTGGGACCTTGAGAAATAAGCTTAAGGAACCAAGCAACCACCCCAAGAGCTTTCTTCGAGAGGACGAGGGTTCCCTCTATTTGAAACCCAAGGACAGGTTGCGCCCATGATCTCACTCCATCTGCAGACAAGCTGCCACCGACATGAAGACCTCAGAGTTCATCAGGGGGATCCACGAACCAGCAAAAGGCGCTTGATTGATTCCAAGGCCCCTTGAGGTGAGATGAAATGGGAACAAACGCTTTTTTCGCCGTCCGAAAGGTCAAGGATTTCTTCTACTCAATCCTTCCAAGCACTGCCTTCAAAGCAGGGCCCAGATTTTTTGCTGTTTCCATGGCAGGTCGACCCAGCGTTGACTTCCAGCAATCCAAGTCTTTCGGGTATCCAACAAAATCCAGTGCCTCCATGAGGGTTGTCCGACCGAGCTGATAGTCAATCGCAGTTGCCCTTGACAAGTCCACCTGGGAGCCCTCCCCCTTATCCAAGAGCTCCCAGCTAACAAAAACGCCCAGTTCGGGTTGGTTGAATTGTAACAAGACCTACCAAAAAAGCAACATCCAGAGAAAAACAGACTTCACACTCTTGGGGGACATTCCAAAGACACCTGGACAGAACTAACATAGCTAATGCCGTGAGACCTCAACTGCAAGCCATGAGCCATGTGAGACCCGCACCGCCCAAAGCAGGATGTCAAAGACCGACACGAAAACCGCGTAGTCATGCGGCCTCAGCACCCCTCTTCATCCAACTCAATCGAGTAAAAATGTTTGTTGAGGAAAAAGCATGCCACAACCAAGCATGCCACAACCAAGCATGCCACAACCAAGCATGCCACAACCAAGCATGTGGCCAGAAGGGCCATGCAAGTTGTAGCTGATTGGTGCAATGAAACAAGCACATGGAAATACATGTACGCAAAGATGTCCATGTTGGGTCGCTCCTTTGTCGGTTGCCGCTGTTGTTGTGTCACCTTTACACGTGAGCAAGACCCGCAGGATAGAAAAAAAAAAACATGGATCCTTTTGAAAGCCGCTTCCTGGTTCGAATCAATTGTAGATCTCAGAAAGTCCTTACCATGCCAAGTTATTAATCTTTGAACAAGGTGTGTTTCTGGGCAATACCATGAAATGAGCTGTGCGTTGAATACGCTGCTCGGCCTAGCAAAATCTCGCAAATGCCCCACATCACGTGAATCCACAAAAGCATGCTCAATGAGTGCTCAAAAGGAAAACGCGCGAATCCTGCGACCTACTTGATCCTCGGTTTGTTCTGCGGCCTTCCTGGCCTGTCCTGATTCCTTTGCAAGCACACCTAGCAGCAATACGTACCAGTATCAAACACGGTACATTGTCACGTACCAGTACCTTCGAGCAAAACCCAAAATAAGAAACAGTACCCCATGGCTTCTTTCAGCCTGCAATTTTACAGCCAGAGGCAGGACTCGCTCAGTCCGATGCATGGGCCTTTTTGCCGCACAGAGTTGCCGGAGCACTTTGCCCGCTTTGCCGCGCAAAGCGAAGGTCCTGGGATGGCTCCCCAAAACCTAGAAAAGAGGGGAACTTTTTTACACCTCATGGTATCACACCTACCATTCTATAATCAACCAGACTGTCAAATGAATGGCCGATGGACACCTTTTGCAACCCAAGTAGGGTTGCCTTTGAGCAGCTCAAAAGGAAAATGCCAACAGCACCTCGGAGAAATGAACAGCAGAGGTCCTAATGCCTCTTGCGGTGCCCGAGCTTCCTTCTGCCCCTCCTGTGCCAGAGGCGGGCATCGCTGTACGCAAATCCGACGGCGAGACCCCCGCCCATGTTGAGCTACCTCTGCAAGGGACGTAGCAAAGCCTCTGACTACAACCGAGCAATCGCAGCATCCTGCAATCCTCATCATGACCAAGGAAAAAAACACTTGGATACGTGCATGGTTTTTGGTAAGCCCCATGCCCCCTGGCGTCGTAGCCCCTCCCGTTTCCCAAATGGTCCCTGCTGTCCCCTTGTCCCCGAGTTGACCACGCAACTAATGAGATCCGCATAAACTCTGGCAGTGTTCCCTAGGCATTGCAAGCAGGACAAAACCTGTGATTTCCCGCAGCCTATGGCCCCAAATGGTTGTCTCAGCTCGTTCGCCCGCTCCTCTTTCGCCCTTGCTTGGAGTCTTGTCGCGCAAGTCCTCGGCATTGAAGGCCAACTGGCCAACTGGCCAACTGGCCAACTGGCCAGCTGAAAGCCCTGGTGGCTTTGTTGACTGAAAGCCGCGGACCAATCAAAATATCCGAGAAAAAAAATGACCCACCCACCCAAACAAAGAAGCGGGTTACAGGCTGTCGAGCCTCAAGAAGAGGCACGAGCAAACCGAAGCCAAAAAGGACGCGGCGGCGCCGTCTCCAAGGCCGGGGCTCTCCAACTCTTCCTCGTCTTGGGCCCTGGATGTTGAAGAAATCACTCCAAGGCTGTCTCCACAGTCAGCCCTTTTGTGTCCCACAGGTTGGAGGAGCAAGGTGGCTCGGAGGTTGAAAGCCAGAAATGTGTTCGATATGAAGGTAGCCCCAAAAATCATGCAGCCCGCTTGCCGTGTCTCGGGTACCCTTTTTGGCAGCTTCAAGAAACAAATGGAGTTCTCGTGCCCGAGATCTTCGTGTGCAACATCGAAAAATGCTGGCCAGCTAATCTGACCACGACACCCTAAAGATGTCTGCGAAACCTTCCCAGTGATGTGTCGTCACAAGATACTGGCTCGTGGCATGCAACAAGTCATGAGTCAACCACTGACAGTCCAGTTTTTGCGGAGGTGTTGCCCAACATCCACTCACAGCTTGGGGTCCCGCCTCTGATACACACCTTCTGACTGCTCTTGCAAAGTGGGCACACAAGGGGACAGACAAAATGGTTTGCTTCCAGTTGGTCTTCTTTTTCAACCCAACCCAGGGGCTTTCCAACAAAAAGGTGCGCGCATAGTGGCGCGTCCCCCGTGCTCCAGTGTTGGGCCAACTCCTCCTGTTCCACCTCCAGAAGAAACCCAACTCTCATTTTTCAACGATTGAAGCAACCTCATCTCGGCTTCGCCGGAAAGAACAACACCGCAAAAACAAAAAAACTGCCAAAGAAACACCAAAAACAACAAATTACGCATATAAAAACCAGGAAAAAAAGAGTTTGCTGTCCCCACATCCCCGCCTCAGGCGTTTCCAGGCAAGGTCCCCGGTCACCCGAGGAAGCCCAAAGATGGAGCCGTCCTCCATGGCATCGACCAGGGCCTCACCGCCGAAGCCACGTCCCGCGCCAAACTTGGAGGAATCAAACATACCAATCTGGGTACGTCTTTTTGTAGGGACCCCCCCCCCTCAACAAAAAAACATTGGTGGCTTTCATGTTGGTTTTCCCAAGCCCGTGAGACCTATGCAAGAGGGTTGAAGCCAGCTGGGCTTCGCGTGTGACTTTCGTAGGACCCAGGGGACCAAAAGGCTCATCGGTCGAAAGACGAAATCGAAATCTACGGTTGGAGATGCCTGTGTCATTTCTTCCCGAGTGCCGGCAGTGGTGAAAAGGCTGATCCTTCAAGCTGTGATAGCACGTGCCTCGAAAGGAGCGAGGCTGTCGTGAGCAAAATTAGCTGTGGCCCCTAATGACATTGGATTCTTGGTAGCCAAGCCCCATGTCTAGTAGAAACTTGGTGAGTGCATCCCCCATTTACAGTAAACGATGTCGAGTGTTGACCATTGCGGCTTGTCTCAAAATATGTAAACCTTCCATTTTAGGTGGTTTTTCTTTGGTATCCCTTTAAAGCAACTTCAAAAGACTCAAACAGGGAACCAACTCCAGAAACTGGACCGGAAAGAACCAAAAGCATGGATTGCCTGCTTGGTTGAGTTTCCAACTGGGAAGGCTCGGCCGCTAATCTTGGAGCATGCGCTACTTCAGCTAACGACGAAGCAACCATGTGTGGACACGTTTGGGTTCCAGGCCAGCCACGTGCAAACTTACAGCAAGGAGCAAATATAAGCCTGGACATACGTGTGCCAAACAAAGGCAGTTGGGTAGTGCTGAAGACCAATGTCCAAGGCGATCCAGCGCCGGTCTCCCAAATTTTCATCTATCCCTCAGGGGGTTCCGCTTTGGTTGCATCTGAACCTGGGCAAACCGGGGCCGCCCTTTTTCTGCCTCTGTCCGGCGGCTCGGAGCTTCCATGCTCCCCAAAGTGGCATTTGCTCGCGCCCAGAACTTGGATCAAAGCGTCTAGAGGGGAGCTTTGAGGAAAAAAGTCCGAGTTTTGGGCACTGCTTCGAATTAGCAAAAGGATAAATGGCATTTGGCAAGGCGAGTAATTCCCAGGCAAACGATCTTTCCCGCCTGCATTACTGCCCAAAAATTTTGCGCCTGCTACGCACTCCAGGCACCTTCATCTGGAAACTCGGATGCACTCAGATTTAGCAGCAGAATCCAGACTTCTTGCTCTTCTTGCTCTTCTTGCTCTGGCAGGTTTCGGCGTGGCATGCACAAGCTCGCCCCTGCTCATTGCTTCAAAAAAACATGGGCAGTCAAAGCATCAAATCGGTCGGCTTTGAAGCGAAGCTTCCAAGGGATCATTTCATGGCCAACAGGGTTTGGCGTGGCTCAAGAATGCAAAGCAGCTACTAAGTCACGAATCGGTCATATGATACATCTGTATCCACCGCCCTCCTGCTCAGCTGTTGTTTGAGTCTGTATAGAAGGGATCGCGGGGCAGGGTTTGCTTTCAGGCCCCCCCAAAAAAAAAAGGCGGCTGGAGTCACCCGAGAATCTGCAGGTTTCGACACCCATATGACTCAACACCCACAAAACAAAAACGAAAGCCACACCTTGGAGGACGCCTTAGGCGGCGCGGCGGAGCCGGTCTTCATGCCCGAGCTCACCACGAAGCTCTCGCGGACCTATGCCGACAACGGGGGGGGTTCTCCAAAGACCCCCCCCACCTCTCTGATCGCCCAGGCTGGGAAAGTCCAGGGAAATCCGCCAGCTTTACAATTCAGAGAAACCAAAAGGAAAATTCGACTATCTTCAGGAGTCCACTTTGAGAAAAACACACCCACGCATGCTTCGAGACCACTTTGAGGACTCAAACACCCCTTTTTTGTGTTCCCCGTTTTTTGGTCGCACCTGGTCAGACATGGCGTGGGTCTCGGCGGGAGCGGCGTGGCCCTCCGGGTGTGCTGTCACCATGAAGCCCGGGGGCAGAGCCTCTCCCGGAGCAAACCACTTGCCCTGCAGGGTTCACGGAACCCGTTCACGGGTTGTTTCCTTTAAAACCACGCAAAAAAATATCCATCCTAAAATGTACGAAACCCCCAACTTGGTTTCAACAAAGAGAACCAACAGGAGGGCTGTTCAAACAAACATGTCCAAACATTCGTTTCAGGGCTCCCCGGCCTGGGAGTGGTCCAAAGCTCCACCCATCGGAGCACCTGAATGGCGCCAAAAAGATGCTCCCAGAATCCAAAACCAAAACATCAGATAAAAGCATCTTCCGCGTCGGTTTTTTTCCTCAGGAAACGTCTAGAACATTCGTCATGTGGGCCAAGATGTTTCAGCAACCCGGGCTGCCCTTGCAAAATCGCATGATGTAGTCGAACCTGTTGAAAAATGTTGAACGTGATGGAGACCCAAAACACGCAGAAGAATGCCTGTTTAGGCCAATGCTATCTCTCCCTTCCCCCCCGCATCTTGCGCTTGAAAGTCGAAGAAAAACAAAAAAGAATGTCCCCCGTTTTCAGTGGTGGACAACTATATATTGGGCCAGGCACCCGTGGTGTAGCTCTGGTATGGCATGGCCTGCACCGAGCTCGCACCCGGCATGGCATACGGCGAAGCCGTGTACGGAGAAGCCGTGTAGGGGGACTGGGAGTAGCCCATCTGGCCTGGACGTTCGCGGAGCCAGTACCCCGCTTCTTGATGTGCCCAGATCCCGCCGATGGGTCTTGATTTCCCCACATTGTCTGGAGGAATGGCAGAGTCCATGACCATGGTCATGAGCAAACTACCCAACCAATCATGAACCAACTGTACCTATGGTGATAACCTTCCAAGTCTGCGCGAATCTCACAACAATTGTTTCCCACCAGTGATCCCTTCAGCTCAAGTGGAATGATTCCCAAGCTTGTGTCCGTTTGGGCTACACAAGGGCCTGTTGGCAGAAAGACCAAAATAGTACCTACCGTTCAGCTCAACACGCAATGCATGGGATAGGGTCACAGCGCAAGTGCTTCCAATAATCTGACTCTCCAATCTTCCTTCCAGAAATATGACCACACATCTATCACAAAACCCAAACGCGAAAACGCCACAAAAAGGTGCCTCCCTCCCCCCCCAAAAAAAAAGGCCTTCAGGGCTTAGGGTCACAAACATCCGTGCAGAACACACATTGGCTTTGCCCCATCTGCACATCGCATTGCCTAATCCTGGGATCCCTGAGCTCGTTGATGTCTCCAGGCGGCCTTTAAATCGGATAGCCTTCCCCCCGACTCGCGGGCCTCCATAGGGATCCGCACCATAGCCCGTGCTGAACATGGCTGGCTCCGCAGCATAGCCCTGGTAGGCTCCTGGTTCCATCGCAAAACATGTTTGTCTTGGGTGCGCCTTTGGCCCTTGGCTTCCTTTTTGCGAGGAAACCAAAGGTAAAGGGAAACCGATCATTTTCGGGGTTCGACTTGGAGATGAGCCTTCTTAGAGGCCCTGGCCAGGCTTGAGAAATCGGAATGAGTCAACACGACTCTACCAAATGCCTTCGACTTTCCTACCCATCCGAATGTGGCCCCTTCTACCAGCGCCTGCGTAGGCGGGATCCACGGTGTAGGCGGCCATGGCGAGCAAAGCGATGCCGGAATTGCTTGAGGCACAGAGCTGCCAGGACCGGGTCCACGATTTCAATAGGCGCAAACCAAAAGAAACCGGGTTGAAGCCAACGCAGCGCAGACCATGCAAATTTTGAGTGGGCCAGAGACCACTTGCCACATGTGCAAATCTCCCGGTAGTCAGCAACTGTTCGTTTCTTGGAATCTAGACTGTAGACTCCAAAACCGGCGGTTTCGACATCCAGAGCATCCGAACCACCCACCCAACCCGCCTGCTCGTGCATGGCCCACAAGCTGAGGTCCTCTGGGGTCCTCTCAGAGGCCTCGAGGTCCTCGAGAGAGAAGGGATGACCGACAGGGGTTCACGGCCTGACTGGAGGATTGAGGGACTCTATTCTCCAGGGGTTGTCTTTTTGTGAGAGACCCCCACAAATTGGTTTCTTTGCTTTTGATTTGCCTTTAAAGCCACACACAAAAGACACACCCAGGTTGGCTTTGGCTATACCCGACATCAGAACATTGGTTGGGGTCCTCTGCCATAGAAAATAACCAATAGGCCCATAGCCCAAAATTCATGCACGAAAAAGGGACCCTCCCAGAATGACTTCTTGTTGCCTCACGACCTGGGACAATTGGGTCCCCGCGCCACTTGTCTATCCTACTGCACCCGGCTAGTGCGTGAGAGCGGCCGTTGGAACTATCTGAAGGGAGACAGCCGGTACCCACAGAAGCGCAAGCCTGAACGCACTTCGCCAACCTTTTCTTGGCCGCAAGTGAGAAAATGTTCACTGTCTTCTGCGCATGTTGTGAATTTTCTCTTCCAGAGTAAACAAATTTATTTCAAATATATTTCATCCTCAAGCGGGGGCCTTGATTAGGGGTATGTCAGTGGCGCACTTGGGAAAGTATAGGCCATTGAGTTCAACAGTATTGCCTGGCAAAATGTTGGTCAAAGATCGAAGTACTTCTTCTTGATGTGGTATGACTGTGGCTTACCCAGCAGTTCCAAAGCGAGCAGATTCGGGTAAAAACATGTTGGACACTTCCAGCACATCCTGGTTAAAAGGTTCTTACCTGCAGTGAAGGAGTTTGATTGAAGGCCTCAGCGGTTGTGGCCAAATCTGCATTTGCCTGCATTCCGCATTTCCGGACATCTGTGTCAAGACCGGCGTTTGTGAACCACAAAATCAGACAAAGAGCCAAAGCCCTATCGCTGCGGGTCACGTTCTTGAGCCCCTTGCGGGAAATGTGGGGCACGGACCCAGGCCCCGGCCATTGAAACAAACCCACTCCTGGAAGCAGAAAAGGAAGGCCTTGCCATGTCCCCAGCACCAAAACGCCAAAGACTACCCTGCTTCAAAAGAAAACCCCACCGACATTAGCTTCGTTCACCAAGCATAGACAAATCATATCTAGCTACGTTGCTTTGCCGGTGACACCAATATTCTCTGCCGCCGGCGCCCAGCAATAAATGGACAACCTGGTGCGCTGTGCCCGCAACGTAGTCTCATAGACCCGTGATTCTTGGGGCACCAGTGCCCAAACTTGCAAAGCGCGCATCGAAGCCAGCGAGGCAAGCCAGCCGATTTTGAAGCAGAAGCCACCAGTTTAAAGCTCACCTCTGCGAGCCCACGGCACTGCAGGATCCGCTTAGGACAGGGTTGGCAATGCACCGGGGGTGCGGCTTGTTTGGACGAACACAAGCGATAGAGCTTGTTAAACCGGCCGGTGCTTCCTACCCACGGCTCCAAATCCGCAGGGATACAAACTCACAGGAGACCCATTATTTTCTCCTTGTCGTTCTCGCCGAACAGGTAGGCCAGCTCCGAAGCCGCTTCAAAGTTCCTCCTGGCGAACTCCAAAAATGGTGAGTTCATCATCATGGCTCCGGCAAAATCCCTGAAAGTGCTCTGTTGACCATGGCGCATCTGGAAAATCAGCGGAGAAAAACGTTGCTGCTGGGCAAACAAGCATTCAAGACATAGTGGTTGCTACCTTGTCTTGGGTCTCCGCCGTGGTCCACTTGGCGGTGGCTCAAAACTAAACAGCTGGGGTTATGCAGGTCTTAGACTACCTTTCCAGATACCAGGGCAAGCCATTTTGGACCCCTATTTTTGAGCCACACCCACTTGTTGGAACCAATCTCTGCCCAACGACGGTGACCTCTCACAAGGCTCTGCCCCGACCTGGCCAGCTGCCTCTGCTCCCACGACTCCTCGGACTCCTCCAGGAAATCCTCCTCGAGGCGGCGCAAAATATGAGCCGTTCGCAGAAGCGCCTTTGGTACAACGACTGAGCGGATAGCAATCATGACTTTTGTTTATATGGCCATGCTTCAAAACCCGATGGTACCATCTTGGGATAGGTGCACCATCCATTTGAGTCTATTTTAGTGGGGATTGGGATGTTCACTGGCGGTACCTGCTTTTGACCCATGGAAAAAAGAGCCCACCAAGGCAATGGTTGTCAGTCATAACCTTTGCGGGGGTGGTTCCCCTTCATCACCATTGAGAGGGTACCTTTGAGGATGTCACTTGAATGGACCCGCACACCACTCGCATGCAAACAGGCCATAAGTGAAGCCTGTTCTGCCGACCTTTCAAAGGATACCGTTTGGTATCCCCCCTTTTAGGGATCGTTACCTCCATTTGAACCACAATTCCCGTGCGCACTGCTCGCGCAAGGCCGGACCCGACTCTGGGGGCGTTGGAGCCAAACAAAAGTTGTGAGCTTGGGGGCCTGGAGATCGAACGAGAAGTTGAGCTCCCCGAAATGGCATGTCCCTTTGATTGTTCGAAAGCCCAAGGGTACCTGAAAAACCAAAAAACTCTCACCCATCAGCTCGATTGAACTGACACCACCAAGCAATAAAACGGGGGCCAAAGCCAGTTGGGGACCTCGTCATGTTGATCCCGAATCCTAAATTCTGGCAAACTAACAATTCGAGTGATACGTTGTCCCTGAAGCGCCCCAGGTCCCCTCTATATAAGCAGCGTGCAACCCAGCAAAACCAACCCACAGGTGCCTTTGTTTACCCTCCCATCAAATGAACCTGGGCAGCTCAACCCTTAACTTTGGACACTATGGACACCTTCGGTTTGAGAACATATGCCTTGGAAGAACACGTCCTTTTAAGAAATTGGGGACGTCTGCGACCCTCACTTCTCCATTTGCCATGGCCCAGAAACCGCCTGCCGCAGCCGGATGAACTTCCGGCGCACCTGCGGATGGATAAAATTGGGAGTTCGAACGGACAGAGCCCCAGAGGGCCATGGGTCAAAACCCCGGTTAGCCCCCCGTGAACATCCGATTCAATCCCCACGAAAATGGACTAAGGTGGGTGCACCGAAAGCCCCCGTTGTGCCCCGCTTTGAACACCCTCATCAAGCACGCATGGCCGTGGCTGGACACCAAAAGAGATCCTTGGGCTGACCATACCTGTCCGTGATCCCATGGACACTTGACTCAGCGGACAAGCTGGAAGAAGCCTTTATATATTCATTTAAGTGAAAACCACTTGGTTTCAGCACACAACATCCTGGCGCTCCTTGCTTCAACTAAAATTGTCGGTGCTCCCATTGCGCAGCGAAGCGGCGCAACTGGCCTGTCGTTTCGCGGGCCGCCTACCTTTAGCAACCCCTGCTGGGGAGGAAGCAAAAGGTGCATTCCAACCAAGCACCCCGCAAGTAGAAAGTACAACTAGAAACAAGACCGAGAGATTATATACATATATATATAGTACACCAAGTATCTCTTCAACCGTCCCACCCACCCCATCCCCCACCCTCCCCCCGGCATCCCCACCGCGGACACATCCAACGAGTTCAACAGCTGCTCGCGGCACCGGCTCCTTGGCACCAAAAAGAGTCCTATGGCTGTGGCTCCAAAAACCGGTACCCAAATGGAACCCTGGTAAGTGGAAACATGGACCAAAAGCTACGGTTTGCCCCTCCGATCCTTTGATTTTGAGCCATACTCGTGAGTCCTGAGGCCCACAAAACAGGCGCCATCTCTAGACACTGCAAGAAAACGGTCGGGAGCTGGGAGACCAGAGCATCATGGCACTGGAAATTTGCAGGCAGCCCAGTGTTTGGGTAGGTGTCCGGCCAACCCTGTGGAGCCCTCCTGTGCATGTATATATATGTATATATATATATATATGTATATATATATATATATATATGGAACCCGACAAGGGAATAATGTTCCCAAATGGAGACTCCTCTGAGCGATTCCATGTGAATCCGTCTCAGGTTGTCTGGAACCCAAATTGATCATTGGGGATGGCAACCGATTAAGCAGCCGAATTCAGAGACTCTCCTATAGCCCAACCGACCCTTTGATCTCTTGCCAGTGGTGTACAACGAAAAGCAGGCAAATATCTACCATAGACCCTCATCTGTTCAGAAGCCGTTCACGAAGCCTGTTCAGAAGCCGCCCGAGTGACTTGGAAGTGCTGGACCAACTGCAAGCCCCGCTCACCGTTTTGAGAAGGTGTCAAACCTGACGGTGATCGGTGCTTACCATTGTGGGTGTGCCTTTTTGGGCCTTGCTGTCCATGTTTGCCATGAGGGCCCGGCAGCCGGAAGATAGGCATGGTCATCATGGCCTCGAGCGATCGAGTCCAAGACTTCAAAGTCCGCAGGGACCAATCTGCACTTTGACCACGGGGCCACTGGTCTTTGGCTCAGTTCAACTAGCAACATACTGCAACATATTGAGGTTCAGCCTTGGTCGATCAACGCAAAAAAAAAGAAGAAAAGGAAAAAAAAAAAAAAGCGGACAGTGGTACCCCGCTTTTCGGTTGGTCGGTTTCTCAAAAAAAAATGAACGGACGCGTTGCGCCACTTTCGGGGGTCGAAAGTAGAGCCACCCATGGCCCCCGGGCGGTGGGACCAAAGGTGCAGAGACCGCAGTACCTGCGCGCCAAGTCGGATGGGTGGAACCTCCAGTTGCCTCATTTACAAACCCGTGCTTCCTCATTCCCAAAAACAACATGCTAGAAACCCGTAGCTCATCTTGGTTGCTCACTTCTGTTTACATAGACCTCTTCTTTACAATGTGAAAACAGTCGTCGGGTGTTTCGGCCCTCTGGGAAGGGACCAAACTGTCAGTCAGGCGGCCGGGTGGGTTGCTGCTGTCTTAACTCGGATCGGCAGGCGTTGGCAACCCAAGGGTGGGGGCCGGACTGATTGTCCAGTGAGGAATCGCCCTGCTGCTCAGAGGGTCCATTGCCATCGCTTGGAAGATCAATTTCCTCTTGGAGGCCCCCTGTCAGGCCATGTTAGTGGTTGGGAGGGCAATTCATGGCTCATGGCTTTGCTGCACACGTGTGAACATGGAAAAATTGCTTTAGAGGAACCATGGCGCGGTCGGCTGGAAATAGAGTGAGTGATTCTAGACGTGTCTTCCTACATCTCTTTCTCTTGGACACGTCTATCACTCTCCTATCCCTTCCCTACGCTGCAGCGGGTTAATGGGGAAGGGATTAGACACGCCATTTCCTCCAATTATAAAATGCTTCTAGAATCTACTTTAGGGAAATGGCAAAGATAACTCAAGGAATTCTAGAGGATACGAAGAGATAAGGAAAGAGGCAAGTGATGGAAGAACGAAAGAAGCCCCACATACTAACTCCTTCCTACGACCTCGCTCATCTCTGTCTCTAGGAGTTAATCTGTTGGGTCACAATGGTAACAGCCAGGATGGGATAATGAAAGACAGGAATTAGACCAGAATGAAGCTGTGGACATGAAGACCAACAGAGAAGCGACCCATTATCCCATTCTTCCTTGTCCTTCCGTCCAAAATGAACGACTTTAGGATGTGAATGAAGGTGACATGAGGAAGAGGAAGGTAATGGCTGACAAGAAATCCATCCTTCATTCACCCACCTGTCAGCTCTTGGAATCGCATGCCAGGTAAACGAACGAAGAGAGAGGTGGCATGTGGGAGAGAGCGGAGGAAGGTGGGTTAGGGATGGGATTCACTCGCTGTCAGGCCACTCTTTCCTTATCCTTCCCTTTCTTGTTTGTTAGGTTTGTAATGTTAGGAAGGATAAGGGAAAGAGATAGAAAAGATTAGTGACCAGCCGTCCCAATTCAAGGATTTCCAGGAGTTACAGTGTGTGAGCGAAGGGAATGAGCGGCTGGGATAGATGGGTCCCTTCATTTCCCATCTCCATCTCATGTTGGGTCGCTGTTGGGTAAGGAATCATGAAAGAAGCGACCCATTCATGTCCTCCCCCTCTCTTCGTTCGGGAGTGTCCATGAGAGATAGAATGCTTCTTGGATGATTTCTTCCTTGGCAATCAATGGTCAAGAATTCTTGGTTATAGACGGTTATCTGTAAAATCCTTGATGAGAGAGAAATAGCTTTCCAGCGGCTTTATTGCTTACCTCCAATCCACGAATCCCCCCCATTTCTGGATCAAAAAAGGCATGCACAAGCAAAGGTTCGAAGCCACGCAGTCGGGGCGCTCACAATCTGGTGACAAGAAGCATGGCGTTAAACACGCCCACGGCCATTCCAAGGAACAAACAACTCAAACAAGGCCTTCCATGTAGGAAGTCAGAAATTAGAGACCCCTGAATTTGGCATCGTTTGCAAGAACGACGTTGACACAACTCAAAGGTCGGCGTTGCTGTGTCAAAGCCTGGACTCCTCCAAGGTGCCTTCACGGTTCTTCTTAGTATCAAGTGTTGAAACGGCGAGGTCCGCATAAAAAACGGACCGTGGAAGATAGCCCACGTGACCCTAAGCCCTCGAACCCTGGATCCCGGGTCACATGGCGGCCAAAAGCAAAGCAGCCTGGTGCGACGGGAGTCTTGTTGAGAGAGCCAAAACGAAACAAACAAATGAGCCATGTCAAAGGCTCAAAATTCTCAACCCAAAGGAAACGGAAATCCGAACTTCTCGGCGAAAAACGCGAACTGCGTGGCTTCCCTCTGAGCTCCCTACATGCCTGGCGCTCATGGCGCGTCAGCCGCACGTGAAGCGAACGGTGCAAAACTCTTTGTGCCCCCAGGCTCAACTCCCAAAAGAGTTTGAGCCCACACTTAAGCTGTTTGATAGTTGCATACGGGTTGCAAAGAAACACTCAGGACTTCGTAGTCTGGCTGTTCTGTTGCAAGACTGCATGCCAAGGCACATGTTCTAGGCATACCAGAGAAGACCTGCAGCAGAAGAGCGAATTGGGATCAATGATCTGAGACGCACTAATAAAGTCATCGCTTGGGCCGAATGTGGCGAGGACGAGGCAGACAAAGCTCAGAACTTGCTACACTGACAAAAAACCCTTCCCTGAATGGTGTGAAGCGAGAATGGAAACCAGGAACACCCGCCCATACAATTGACTTCATTCATTGAGAACACATCAGGACCTCAGGCTCCATGAGTCTGCGAGCAAGCGGGGCACCCCGCTCTGAGCTGCGATAGCAGTTCAGCATGCGCTTAAAGTACCTCCGGGCAAGTGTCACTCCAGGGTTTGGCCAAGCCTTGAAACAATGTTAAAACTATTGCCAACTCTTTTGGTAACTTTAGTAACTCTTTTGGTTCTCCTTCTGGTTCCACTTTTGGAATTCCCCTTCCCCTCTTGGCTCTCCTTTCGGTGTCACTTTTTGCCTCGTGCCAATTCCGTGCACCATGTGAGCCACAGCTAAAATCGTTACGCCGAGCCGAAATTCGGAGACGTTGCGAGGGAAGTCCCTGGGTTTAGGATGGGCCTAGTGTCCCTTCAGCGCTCCGGAACTGAAAACCGACACCGAGAACCGAACCGGAGCGCGCCAAACAGCCGGTGTCACGGGGTGACCGAGTCACCGCTACGTCCAGAGCCGTTTTGCCACAAGTCTGGAAGCTCACAGGGAGGTTGGTGAGGCTATGTCAAAACCGGGATCCTTTTCCACAAGTGTCAAAGAGACAGGTCTGCATTCCAACAAATAACACTAGTTCCCTTCAAGAATATGACGTCATAACCAACAGCTCAGCCAAGCCCACAGTGATGCTGGAAGGATTTTGTGTCTAGTTGGCTACTGCGTGAAGGGGTGGTCATTTTGGTAGAGGGTCTTCATCTCTCGGGCCGAAAAAAGAAGAACAAAAGCACTCCTTCCCACCTATCCGGCAAGCTGAACCTGACAACTCCGGGCCTCTGAAAAATCAAGAAAACAAAACAACGAGAAGCGAAGTTCGACGAATCCTTGGGCGCAAGGTATTGAAGGCCACTACCGTGGTGGTGGCCAGAAACAGCACCATGGCGGAAACTCGCTAGCACCGCTTCCAAGCGGGGGGGGGAGGGCCTTCCAATCGGGGTATCCAGGCAATTGCTTCCGGAAGCCGAAAGCTATTTCCAAAGTGTCCTTGATTGCTGGCACTGCTCATCAATGTGACTTTAAAGAAATGGAAAGAGACCTTTCTTAGCACATCTGTCTGCTACACCGCGCGAACCATGGCAGCATCCTCAAACCTGTCCTAAGAGACTGGAGCAAAAGGGGCGCAAACTGAGGCCCACACGAGTAAAACCACCACCTCGAGCCTCTTGGCACTCCACACAAATTTGGCTGGCAGCTTTTGGCGCTTCACTCTCGCAGATCACAGCGCCACCGGCAAAATGGATGAATTGGCAAAGGATTCGATCATTTGGCAAAAGCATCTGCGCAGATCCATTGTGGTCACTCGGAGCTAATGGCACCTCTGGCAGAGTCTGGAAAACGATGCCCTCGCTTAGCAGCAGCCGCTGGACTTCTTCTTCTTGCTCTTCTTGGACTGCGCCAAACAGAAAAAACTGCCAAGCCCACATCCGGGTATCACCAACCTCCCCGATCAAAAAAAGATGGGGGGCGGAAAAAATCCCGAATCTTCTCACAGAAGTAGCTGTTCCTTCCGAACCTGACTTTGAACCAGGGTTGCCTCAGGGAAGAGGGGGAACTGCACACACGAGAGGTCGAGCCTGGATGCCACACACAGCGAACGACCGGAGCCCGCGCCTTGGAAGAGGTCTTTGGGGCGGCGGAGCCAGTCTTCATGGCAGAGGAGCCGGTGACGACGAAGCTCTCACGGGCCTAGAGCAGATCAACAAAATCGAGTCAGCCCTCGAACCCTCAGCACTCCGCCATGGCAAGACAAGACATGCAAGACCTTGGCAAAACGGTTTCGCCTTGTCAGACATGGCGTGGGTCTCGGCGGGCGCGGTGTGGCCCTCCGGGTGTGCTGTCACCATGAAGCCCGGGGGCAGAGCCTCTCCCGGAGCAAACCACTTGCCCTGGGAGTGGTCCAAAGCAGAGCCCGGAGCACCTCGCAATGCGCAGACAGGCGCAGAAACGCGGGGGGGGGGGGGGGGAACGCGCGCCATGTGCTGATGTGGCATGGAGTTGTGCTGCTTTGCGCCATGGCGCCCGTGGTGTAGCTCGTGACTGGCATGGCCTGCACCGAGCTCGCACCCGGCATGGCATACGGCGAAGCCGTGTACGGGGAGTAGCCGACCTGAGCGCCTGCAGGCTGCACCACAAGTGAGGAACTCTATGAGAACGACAAATCAGCCCAAGCCCGCGCAACTTCCATCTGCACGTGACCCGTCCAGAAACCCAAAGCACGGCACGCTCGCACTTTCGCCTCCATAGGGGTCGGCATAGCCCGTGCTCATGGGCTGCTGGGTGTACATGGGCTGCTGCGTGTACATGGGCTCCGCCGGGTAGGTTCCTGCACTTTACACCCACAAATGGAAAGCGCAGCCTTTCCATCGATCAATATGACGGACCTCGGCAAGTTAGGGGGGGAGTTAGCAAACACCGAGAAAAACGATTAATTTTGGTGTGATGGTGCCCATCAGCATGTTGGCCAAAATACATGGGAAGGAACCAAGGCGTGTGGTTGTTTGGTGTCTGCATGACAAAGGCTGCCCAATACATTATTCGTGAAGCCATGCACGACACTCCCATACTGTAATACAATCCCTTCGCACCTGCCATGCTGGATACAAGCTGGATCCGGATGCTGACTTGAGCTGTAAAGGCTAAATAAGCCGAAGTGTTGGGGCGGCGGTTTCCTGAAAAGACCAAGATCCAGCAAGCGCTGCAATGACGCAATGACGCAATGAAGCCATGCTGCCTTTTTGTTGCTGCCGACTTGAAACAGATTGAATTTGCAAAAGGTTGAGGTTCATTTGGCAAAGGTACAAGGGGGCATTCTACTCAGATCCCATCAAGCTCCCTAAGAGCAGTGACGGAACCTCTAGCAGAGTCTGGAAAACGATGCCCTCGCTTAGCAGCAGCCGCTGGACTTCTTCTTCTTGCTCTTCTTGGACTGCGACCCGATCCAAAAAAGATGGGGGGCGGAAAAAATCCCGAATCTTCTCACAGAAGTAGCCGGTCCTTCCGAACCTGACTTTGAACCACGGTTACTTCAGGGAAGAGGGGGAACTGCACACACGAGAGGTCGAGCCTGGATGCCACACACATCGAACGACCGGAGCCCGTGCCTTGGAAGAGGTCTTTGGGGCGGCGGAGCCAGTCTTCATGGCAGAGGAGCCGGTGACGACGAAGCTCTCACGGGCCTAGAGCAGATCAACAAAATCGAGTCAGCCCTCGAACCCCCAGCACTCCGCCATGGCAAGACAAGACATGCAAGACCTTGGCAAAACGGTTTCGCCTTGTCAGACATGGCGTGGGTCTCGGCGGGCGCGGTGTGGCCCTCCGGGTGTGCTGTCACCATGAAGCCCGGGGGCAGAGCCTCTCCCGGAGCAAACCACTTGCCCTGGGAGTGGTCCAAAGCAGAGCCCGGAGCACCTCGCAATGCGCAGACAGGCGCAGAAACGCGGGGGGGGG